TCAATTATCTTCTGACATGCCCACTGTTCATGTTTCAAAAATATTTCGCAATGGTAAAATATTTAACTCAATTCCATATGTCCCTATAATCGCTTGAAAATGTTTGAATAGTACGAGTTGTTAAAAAGAAAGTAAAGTTGACAAATGGGCTTTATATATAATAAATCTCTCATAGTAGGATAATTGCTTCTTCTTGTTTTTCTTTCTCTCATATCCTACAATGTGTTCTGAAGTGTTTAAAAAAAAAATCATATGAAGATGTTTTTCTCTGTTTTTGAACGAAATACATCCGAGTTCCCTTTAAAGATTTATTCTTAAACACTAAAAAATAAAAAATAAAAGACTAACAATTTTATTGTAAATACAAAAGTATTTGACTACTTAGTATAATAGAATGCTTAAAATCATTACTGATGTTTTATATTCTAATATGTAAGAATCATCTTAGCAAATGAATATGGAGAGTATGATCACATACTAGAACTCTGTCTGTCTCTGTACGAGAGTATGATCTGTACTAGAGCCACATAAAAATATTTTTCTCTATTCTTTTTAAAAGTTGAACAAGTTACAATCTTTCTTGATTATATTTAAATTAAATTATTTTTTTTCAAACATAGTCTACTTCTTTTATGAAATGAATGATGATAAGTGAAATCAAAAAAGATTAGTATATTTCTATATAATTAAATTCTCTCGTTGTTTGAAAATAATAAAAAATAAAATTTTTGTTTGTATATATAAAGTGGTCATATTAATCATCATCGTTTTATAGAAGAATATATTTCGATTAGTATTGCTACTGCTGTCTTTTCTAGTCACACTTCAAAAATCGATGAACGATTTTATTTATGATCCATATTGTTTGAAATGTCAATATTCACTCAAGTATTATCATTTACATTTTTTTTCTTCTCAAAAAATATATTCCATTTTTTCTCTCTCTCTCTCATTGTATCAATTTAACCTGCCTAATGTATATATTATATACGATACATTCAGCCATATTTCAGGTGTACGTGTAGTTTGATGGTATCAACATAGAAAATAAGAGATATTCTGTGAAAAGAGCAATAGAGAAAGACGAAACTTAAAGTAAAATAAGCATGATATGTAAGTGAGAGAAAGAAAGCAAAAAAAAAAGAAAAGAAAAACGAACAAAAATAAATAGATGAATATACACAGCACATATAATATTGTATGAGATTTGTATGTCTGGTATATCTTCTTGTCAAAAAAGAAAAAAGAAAGAAAAATAAAACAAAGAAGAGAGAAAGAAAACTCCATAGCATTGTACTAGTCTTGAACAAATAGATATTTATTTAATTAATCAACAAAACAAAATAAAACATATTATTTTCGTGTTATATATTATCTAGTTCATAAGTCTAATTTTTTTAATAATGTTATCAAAAAAACGTAATCCATTTTCATTTCATTTTCTTCATTATCGTGACAATGATCGAAAACTTAAATTAACTCAAACTTCTCAAACACAATCAACAGTTGATTTACAACAAAAATCTCAAGAAATTTTAGTTAAACCTAGTTGTCAATTATCTGGTAACCAATCACAATCATTATTAAAATTAACAACTACCACAAAATCACCTCCATCCAATCGAAAAAATGAAAAATATCGAAATAAATTATTTTCATTGAAACATCATCATCATCACACATCACAATCAAATATAAATCAAGATTCTTCAACGACAACGACACTTTCACCTTATTTACCCATGTGTATTAGTCGAGGATGGTTAAAAAAGCGTTTAAAACGACCACAATCATTAGATCTTGAACTTGTTAGTGCATTTCAACAAGACATTATACAACCGTCTAACAATAATGAGACAACGACAATAATAGAAAATAATAATAACGGTAATTGAAATTACTGTTAACCTTGTATCAATAATAATAATAAGTAACAAAAGGAAACCATTGAAAAATGAAGGTTAAAATATTTGATTTGTTATGAAGAACATGTCTATAGATCTAGAATTTGATTTAGAGAGAAGAGAGGTAAGGCTAAATAGCCTTTTAAAGATTTGTTTGCCCTATAGTATCCACTTTTATTTATAATTCTACTTATTGAAATGTGAAAATATAAATTGCATCTCAATGCAAATGTACAGTAGTTTTATCGTAACCAAAACTTCTTTTTACATCAGATAAATTAGATGTAAAAATTTTCATTGAAAATATTACTATTGTTGTTTGTATGTTGTTGACAGACAGTTCTTTAACTTGTGAATAATGGGGACATCCTTTTTTTTTCTAAGTATAAATAGTCTCGATAATATGTCGATGTTTATTGGATAATTATATGAAAAAGATGTTCTGTTTGATTGTAACAGTTATAGTAGTAGAAAAGAAAAAAAAAAAGAATGTCAAAGATGTTTTTCCCATTTATATTTTTTTCGTGATATTTTCCATCTATAAGTAATAAACTATATTGGGAATATGGTAGCTCATACATCTTATGTATGTCATTATCCTTGTTGAAAGTAAACACATAAAATAGTTGTTGTTGTTGTTGTTGTTTAAAAAACGTTGGTGCTATGTTCTAGCATTTTTAGTAAATGGTATCACGTCTAGTTAAGAATTTCGAAGGTATGTAGTGATAATGAGATATTTTTTATTGATATAATGATGTAATGGAATATCTGATCTGTTTACTAATTATTTTATTCTTTTTTTTTTGTATAGACAATTTTTATAAAAATTTTCTAAGATTACGTTCACTTGATGTGACTAGTATCTCTTAGAGATTTACTAGAATAGTTTATTCTACTAATTTAGACATAATACAAGCAGAAATTACTTGATAAAAACTAAATTATTTTCAACATATTAGCTCGTACCGAATCCCAATATGATTTATTTTTATGTATTTTTCATATGTCTGACTAGATTATCATTGTCACTATTACTATTATTTCGATTAATATATTTGTTTTTGTTTTGTTTTGTTTAGGTAAGTGTATCAACGGATTATAGGCGTGGCTTGTTTTGATAATGATGATACTAATTGACTGACTATGAAATTTTCAATTAAAATATATAAATATAATTAGACTGTTATTAAAATTCGTAAAAGTAATGTGAAAAATGAAATATGTTATTAAAAAGAGTTATAGTCTTTATTGTGGTGGTATGTATTGTAGCTTTATTTAATCTCAATAGTAGTGAATGATATGATTGACAGGTCCTATACGTACACGACATTTTTTGTTACAACTTTAAAGAACAAAAATTCATTTGAAAAACATGCTGAAACTTGTCACACTACGATGTCAGTGATTCTTGTCTGTGTATTATTTTGTGAATTTATGTAAACGTAAGTTATATGTAAAAGAAACAGACTTGTAGAAGTTGCCACTTTTATGATCGAAAATAAACAGATGATAGTGTAAGAACTGTAAATAAATTATCTATTCTGATTAAAAACAATAATAATTTATTGCCAAAAATTTTTAAACACATTGTGTTCCCTCTTTCTGAAGGTCAAAGTAAAAAAGATGAATTTCTATATTTTAATTTGACATGTTACTATTGAGAGTCAATATCCTCATCATAAATGAAGATCACTTCGCTTCTCAAGATTGTTTTCATGTAAAAATTAATGAAATTTTTTGAAAATTTTGTGATTCGGTCAAAATTTTTATGATTTTTCGAAACAGATTTTAGCAAAAATAGGCGAAAAATTTTGAATAATATCAACGTGTAAGAATGAGATATCGCTCAATTTTCGAAAACACTTTATTTTAAAGTTACAATCATTTGTCTGGAAATTTTTCGAAATACGCTATCTTTCGTGATCACTTGACTACACCGAAGAAGAAAATGTCTTGGTAGTAGTTCAATTTGACTGATCGAGCTGACCTTTCTATCAGAAATAGAATATAAACGTGGATATCAAACAAATCTTTTCTGTGTGTAGAAATAATCCCTTCCTTTCAGAGAAAATTCTTTCCAGTAAACTAATGAGAGAAAATCATTGTGTCAAACAGCTAGTTATCTTATTTTTTGATCTTATAGAGGAATATTTATAAATTCAAAAAAATTCTGTAATATTATTGTCGATTTTATCTCTGGTAAAATGTTTAGTGTAATCAATCGATCAAATCGTTCTACTTGAAAAGCTAGTACAAGAAGCAGTCCATTCATTTTTCACTATTGCGACCCCTATAGAAAAGCACTAACGAAAGACGTGCCTAATGTAACTTCTTCAGTATTCCTCGATCCTCACTTATTCTAAAAAGGATTAGAATTCTGTGCTAAAGCATTCTTTTGAAGTGTTGAGGAAGGGGAGTCCCATTAATATTTGTTTGCGTTTGATAAATCAGGAGCGAAAGTAATAGTTATGTTTTGTACTCATTCTTACCCTTAAACTTCGTCTCCTTGTTCAATAAAAATCTATAAAAAGAAGCCTTTAGTAAAAGTTACTTTTTTTTCTGCATATTGTATCTCACAAGATTGTTACGCATCTGATGTACGAGAAAAAATGTTAACAATTCAACGATAGGAAAATGTGAGCTACAAGTTAGAAGTGAAGGTTAATATCAATGTCTATTATAAACTTTTGTTAGCATATATTATATCTTCATAAGGCCACGTAAACACTGTTCGTTGGTATAGTGATGTTTAATTTTCTCTTTCTAATACACTAGATCATTCCTTAAATATATAGCTCTACTTCAGCTTTGAATATCCTAATAGATTCTAATTTTCTCTCCTTCAATGGATAACAAATTTTTTGTCAATAAGTTGTAATTTCATATTTTTCATTCTTCATAAACTGAAAAGTTCTGTATGTTTAAGTTGTTCTCCTTTTTAACATTTCACACAATCGTTAACATTTGTTTTAAAGAGAAAAAATAAATCATACTCTTGTTAAATGAGCGTTTGTTTTTAAGCATTGAAAAAAAGAAAACCGTTATTTTACCTTCATAAATAACTTTAACATCAAAGTAATAACTTTAATTGAATACACACACACACACACAATCGTATCCGATTGGAAACTCAACTTGTTGAATATTTTCTTTAGTTTTTATCAGATTCATGTGGTTTATGTACGTGTATATGAACTGTACTAGACAATGATTATATGTTGATTTTTAAAATGAAGAAAAAAAATTTTTTCTTCTTCTATATGATGATGGTTTTTTTATTTTTAATGAATTTGTCCTAAAAATGAGATACGTAAAGAAGATGATCTAACTCTCTTGCAAATGAACAAATGTATTATTTAGATTACATAAGAGTTAATCATCTCGACTATGAGATGGGTTATGCTTAAATGATTATCCGATGATGCGTTTACAGCCTCTCTATATAAAGATGAAAGTTTTTTTTTTATTAAATAGAGTAAATTTATAAAAAAATGCTGAAAAAGGGTAGTTTGAAACATAGATCAATTACTGATTTACAAAAATTTTCAAATACTTATCGTTCATCGTCATCATTAAAATATGTCAGTGCAATTATTTTACCAAAATTATCATGTAAAACATGTACAATGCGCTATACAAAACTAAGAGCACAAAGTCTAGTCAGTGGAATGGGTATGTAACATCTAAACTGACGTATTTTTTAGTGAGATAATCTTCTTAGAGATAGATAGAGTGCATGAACACAATAAGATTCATCGATGATCAATAGACAAAGTGTTTCCAAATGACTTTTTAATGGAATCAGTGATATATACAAAGTGTGTGTAAGAATTTGGATGTGTGATAACGATGAAGAAAGCTAAAAGATAAGAAAGTAAAAATAAATGATTTATAGATGTAAAATCGAGTATCAATTATCGTGAGGAAGAAGAAATAGATAGCTACATGCAGATATATTCATTTTCAGAGGATAGAATTATCTTTATCATAAAGGATCATAATGATTCTCAGTATTTTTTAAAATTAAGTTTTAAAAGTTTATTCCAATACAATTCAAATCTTGGAAAAAAGTCAATTAAAAGTTTTTTTTGTATGGTATAATGTTTTTATGAGTGATACAACTCATGTCATAGTTAGTGTCGGCGTATCAATTATCATTCATTATTTAAACCTTTTTTCCATTAGATTTTATCACATATTTTGATGCGTTTTTATTCTTTTCTTTTTTTATATTAATCTGATTAACATTAAGATAAAGATCTTTTAAGTTTTTGTAAAGAGAGGTGAGTTTTTTGTTTTGAGATTTGATAAATGTAAATGGTGAATACTTACATAAGGAATTGTTACATTTTGTCTAGTAGTTAATAAAAGAAATAAGAATAGTTTATTTGTCTTTAAGCTAATTTAATTAAATCTTTGTGTATGTGTGTCCGACAGATGACCAACTGCTGTTTATTTTAAGAATAAGTAAGTTATTATTGCGTATTTGTTATTTGAATATTAATTTATTTGTATGATGAAAAACAGACTCCCACATACATTCATCTATTTAATTATATAACATCTTACTCACACTTCTCTCTCTCTCTCTCTCTTTCCCTCTAGTAACAGCTTCATTATGTGATCAAGTGATGTTCGATTCAATAATACCGCAGGATTTTTCTTTTTGTTCTTTTTTTTTTCTCTCTATGATCCGCCTATTAGCAGACCACCTTTGTATTGAGTTTTTTTTTCCTTCTTTCTCTCCTTCTTGTCAATTTTTTTCTTTTTTACTAAACCATTTTTTCTCTCTCTCTCGCTTGCTCACTTGCTTTTTTCTTTTTTTTTGTCCATATATCGTTATATCAAATACACTTTCTTCTCTTTTATGTTTTTTTTTTTTTTTTTATGACCATGTACATAGTACACATACACACAAATATAAATTGATGATGCTATGATGTACAATCACTCTTCTTCCTCCTCTGTTCTTCTTCTACAACAAAAACCAAACGCCATGTAACAATAATAAACGTTACAAAACGATTAGATGATGATCTAGTTAATTTACATGAAAAAAAAAAAACATTGATTTTAATTTTTTTTCTTTTTCGAATAGTGTCCGTGTCAAATCGATTTTAATCGATTGATTTTAACACATATACATTTACTACTTTTTATTATTATTATTATTTTATCAATATCAACCTTCGTCGTTGTCGTGTCTTACCAGTATCAAAGATAGATAAATAACTTCTTCTTCTTCTTCTTTTTTTTCGTCTTACTTTGTGATTATATACTGTACACCGGCCGATAAACAAGTAATAGAAATAAATGTAAAACCCTCGAGAGACGTTTCTCTCACGATAATAATAAAAAATAATAAAACAATATGTCAGAACAACGTTGTTATTATTGTTGTTGTATATAACTCTGTTTTTCCTCTCTTCTTCTTTTGTGTTCCTACTTCATCAAACTCTACAACATTTTTTTCCCTTCTTCATCTTCTTTAAGTTATTTTTTAATATTTATTTTCAATTTATTAAATATGTTTTCTCTAAATAATTAAAAAAAAGAAATTTTTCTCATATGGATTCTCGTTATCGTTTTTCAACACATTTAACATCACCTCATCAAGATCTTGGTCAAACATATACGAGTCGTTATTATCATCGTCCTGTACTTTCAACTCCACATCATCGATTACCTCGATATTCAATGGCAACACCGTCTCCATCTCATTTATTCACCTATCAACATCAAATACCTCGACATCGTTTTCTCTCAGCATGGGATTTAGCACCAAATCCCACTATTTATTTATCAACACAGAGTATTGGACAACCAACTTCATCTACACATCATCATAATTCATCGTCAAATGTTCGAGATAATCAAAATTTACTATCGGGATTTCATCAAAATCAGTCTCAACAACCATTGTTAACAAACAATGGTAAGTGAACTAAAAATAATGAAAAGAAAACTCTTTTCTAAAATATAATATTATCAAAGTTAGAGTTAGTTTTAAATCTAATCAGAATGAGATCTTATCAAAATTTTTAGTTTAAAAAATAATTATAACTGAATATATAGATATATTTTAACTTTTATTCTTCATTTTCTTTTATTGCAAATATATAATGATACGGATTTATTTTGATGGTTTTCGATTGCAGAGGAGGATGAAGGTGTATTTAATTTCTATATAATTCAATGAATGTCATTGAATAAAAGAGATAGATACATACATCTGTATGTATATCTATATTCATATATTGACTAAATATTTATTCCATTGAACACATACACACACATATGCATATACTTCTATCGTACTTTTATTCAATTGAGTTCAAATCAAATCAAATCAAATCAATAAATATATAATCAATTGTATTTTAGATTTAGAATATAAACCCCATAATAATAAACGATGAGCTTTAGACTAGACCACCTATTGTTATTTTGTTGCATATTAAGATAAGAAAAGAAAAAAAAAATGGTTCATATGTAATATTTATTTATATGTTCATCAGACATTATGACATTTAAAAACAACCACATAAAAATAAAATGAGAGAAAAGAAAAAAAACAGTAAGCACTAGAAAAAAAACATAACAATAGGGTGCATTGATACTGTTCGTTTGATTAACCATAACTTCAAAGTTCTTAATCAATTTAGAATAGATTATAAAATCTATCAGACATTCAATATTTAACGTGTATTTTTTTTATTAACATAAGAATTTTAAATATTTAAGTTATCTCTTTTTCTTCTTTTTTTTTTCTCAACAAAAAAGAAAAAAGAAACAACCATTATTTGAATCCGTTTTTTATATTTTTTGTATCAATGAGATCAAACATGATACTATTTTAGTAATTGATTCTCTAAAAATGTAACTTATATTTAGATCTAATTATTGAACTTGAACTAATAGTAAATAAAAAGATAATCTTTAGCCTTCAAATTTGTACGATGAGAAGAGGAAGGCAAAGTAAATGAGAAGTAGGTGGTCAATATGTACAAGAGAGTGATCATATTACACTTTTATGTGTAAATATATATATAAAAAAAAAAATTGTTTTATTGAAAAATATGAGAATAACGAGAGAAAAAACGTATTTATTTTATTGATTGATATTTTTATTTTATTTTTTTTTTTGACAAAACAGTCATAGACTAACGACCTGAAGTAGTAAAATATAGTTATGAGTTTGAGAGTGAAAAGAGAGATTAAAATAATGGTACATAATATGAAAACTTTCTTCAATTAGTTAGTGATTAAATAAAAATTAATTTGTCACATCAAATAAAAATGATGTGAGTTTTTTTTTTTTGTCTAATGTTAGAAAATTCTGTTATAAATGTTTCACTTTAAATTGTTTTGATATTTTTATAATTGATTTGAATACCATCATTGATACAAATTGAAACTCTCTCACTTTTGTGTGTATGATATCAAAGAAAAAGAGATGTGTCGATTTATTTATTTTTTCGACCTCAGTGTCTTTTGTACTTAAGAAAGTTATGATGATGTTGCTATAAGGTGTAAACTTGTTTTTTTCAAAATATTTAAAGCAAATAAGAGAGAGAGAGAGAGAGAGAGAGAGAGTATTACTAATTTATCGATAATTCAATCATGTCTATTTGACTGTGTTTTCGTATATACGATCCATTAACATTTATATGTTTAGATACGGTAGTGAAATGTGTGATTGCAATATTAATTATTTAATATTTACCTTTTCCTGTTAGAATGTATGAATAACTTTTTTTTTGTGATTAACTGACACGACTATTATATGTGCAAAGAGAAAAGTAGATAAATGGTAAAAAACCTTTTAATTTTTTTTTACAGAGAACTAAATATATGCGTGAGAATTATGAATCAAATTATTTTTTTGTAGAAATTCTTCATTTTTTTCAAATTTTTAATTAGACATATTTAATTGAAATACCAAAATCGATACTCTTCTGAAGTGGAGCACAAAATGCATTCATTCTTATAACAGGTGTCTTTCTCAGTTTTTTTTTTTTTGTTAGACATTCACCTTGAATGGCGCGCAAGGTTCATTTGCGCTTAACTTTTCTTTTTCTTCTCATTCTTTCTTTCTTTTTTTTTTTGTGATAATAATGAAATTGCGCTCACTCACGTACATGTAAATAGATATAGATCAGCAATATATAAAAATATATATATATATATATGTGATTGAGTATGCATAATGCATATATATGTCGACGTGCATATAAAGATTAGACAAAATGACTGTACAGGAAAATAATTGTCCTTGTCAAAATGTGTGTGTGTGTATGTACAACAAAACTATTTACTTTTATATGAGAGGAAAAGAGAGATCGAGCAACATTTTTCTCATTATATACTAAAAAAAAAAAAAAACAAAAAAAAAAAATTCTTTTCACTTTTAATCAAGGTCAAATAACAAAAATGGGTTTAGCTAAGTGAGACAAGGAGACTGTTCGTAGTCTACCTGTCTTCGCATTATAGAAGGACAGAATTAAATACGAGACATAGTGAAGAAAGAGTCCGATTTGGGTAAAGTTTTTGAACTTTTTGTGCTTTAAAAAACAAATCATTAATTCTCTTTTTCTCTCTAAAAAATATCAGATCTACTGGTTGTTCATTCAAGCACCGCTCGAAGATCAATGTCATATAACAAAAACTTTTTGATCTAACCTACAATATTTCATTTTATCTTCTGCTTGCTTAAAGAAATGTCAATGAAATTTTATCTCTCTCAAGGTTGCATTAACATCTGATTGCCTTTAGTAACATCATCAATGGGTTTCTTTTAGTTTATATGTCAACAGAATAATGATAAATCATTGTCTTTTTCCTCTCTTTCTCTTCCTTTTTTATCCCAATAAGGTGTCGCTAGTTGACTATGATATCGTTGCATTGAAGCGCCATCAAGAAAAAAAAAAATAGAGAACTGCCATTTTTTTTTTTCTTTTCAATTTAACCATAACCGTCTGTTGTAATGGTTTTCTATGCTTGAACATGCTTTACATGACAAAATAACAACAACAAAAAAGACCTTATACAATCGGTATGAAATAAAGCAAGGTTCTACTATTATTTGATATAGAAAATAGCTAAAATATTTTTCTATCTCATGTCTGTTAATTATGCAAAACGTCATCTTTAATTGCTGACATTGAATAAATATGGCTCTAAATTAATTAAATTGTTAATTATAGTTAATATAAGCTTTATTTTCAAATAAAAGAATGACGAAAAGAAAGGACATTCGATCTTATGGATATAGATATATATATATGAACAAAAGAAAGAAGAAATATGCATTACATATCATTTTGTCTGCTCATTTCAAATAATTAATTATCATTGATTATTTCAAGACTGTCACTAATATTAGTCACTGACAGTGTCTACTCATTAACGAATTTCAATCATAACGGAGTTTTTTCTTGATATGAAGTTAACTATTTTTCTAATGAAAAGATAGAGAAATTAATAGTATTTTTTGTTCATTTATCAATTGGTAGATATTGAATTCCAACAATCTTTTTTTTATTTTTGATCTATTTTTGTGCAACCATTATGTCTTTATTCTACAAATTTACAATAGTTTTTGTTTCTATTTTATAATGTCTGCTTTACGCTTGACATGTAGTACACTCTACTCATCTTACATACACATCCATACGCTTCTTGAGTATGTATCCTAGACAACAATCTAACCACACGTACAGCTGTCTCACTCAACTGCTGTTGCCGTCATTTATTTATGACGCAATTTTTTTTTTTTTTTTTCAAAGAGAGAAAGTGCAAATCTAATTACAGCGTGTGTGTAATGCATGATTGAACTGCATTTTGTTCTTTAAAGGACGTGCTAGTAATGGCGATGGTATTTTACTCGCAAATTTTAACAAGAAGAAGAAGAAGAAAAAAAAATTATTCGATGATTTTTTTATTTTGTATATTGTCTATTGTACGATTAGAGGACATGGAGTATATAAAATGCAAACGTTTTTATTTCTTTTCTCCTTATTGTCGCATGTTGAACATCATATTCTACATAAAATGTGCATGCATGAATAGATGAAGAGTGTGAAAAAAAAACGAAGAAGTTTTTCTCGGTGGTCATTGACATACTGTGAACATCGAGTAATTGAATAGTAAAATATATATATACACAGTGATAATAATAATGATAATAATAATAATAATAATAATAATAATAATGATAAATATGTTCAACGAACGAATAAATCTATAAATGAATGAAATGTGAGGAAAAAATGCGTGAGAAGAAGATCAAATACATTTTTTTTCTCTCTATTGACGAAGATAAATAAAGCAATAAAACTATGTGTCGTAGTACTCTCATTTAGCTAGACTATAAAAATTGCCTTTTTTTTTTCTTTTTTTTTTTTCTCTCTCTCTTTGCTCAACTACAAAAATATGAACTAAGACGTGGTATGTATAATTGTGATGTTACACTTTTGATATTTTAAATATATCCATACAAAATTTTTTTTTAAGAAAAAAAAATAAACTGAAAAGAAATTTGAAGATACACACACACACACACACTCATTGATCGATTCAGATACTATTGACTTTGTTCTCTTACATTATTTTTTTACTCTTGAGATATTGAACAGTGTATTATTGGTATAAACATTATTTTTGCACTATGTAATGTTTCTTTCTTTTTCTCTTTCTCTCTCGTTTCTATGAGAGTGGTCGTTACTGCCGCCCTCTATTAGTCAATCTTATATTTAGATATCTAAATATTACTAAGATTTGTCTATTTTATTTGGATCATATATATATATATATATCATACAGATTATTAACATTTTCTCGCCTGCTAAAAAAGCCGTTTGTCATCGATATTTTCACCTATGATTAATCGATGGTAATGGATATCGTATGTATGAGTATTTTTGATCGACATTTCGGTAAAAAGACGTAATAGTTAGAAAACGATAGACATTAATCATCTAGCAATTATTCTCACTACAACCATCTATTTGATATATACCAAAAAAGAAAAACTTCTTTTTTTTTTTGAAACAAAAGTGGGAGAAATAGAAAAATGTGGGCATCAGCTGCTACATTTATCTCTCATGTAATTTTTGTACGAATACAGCTGAATATATATATATATATAATCAAAATAAAAAAAAAATTAGAAATAGATCTTTAACTATTCTACCATAGTGATTTTATACATTTTTATATTTGTTTTATTTTATATAAAAAAAAAAATTTTTGTTTTGTTTTTTTTGTCTTTAACTCAATCCCGTAATCATCAGCAAAACGAAAGTATTATTTTTGAATTACAAGTAAGTTTCAATTTGTCTTATTAATAAAATTAGAATAGAACCTTTAAAAAATTTGATTTAATATAATTTCGTCTCATAAGTAGACAATTTTTTTTTTTGTTTTTTCATCATTAATATCCCAGCAGACTTTAACAAACGATTGAAGTTTTTATAGTATGTTTTCGTGATGACTGATTCTCTGTATACCAATATGATTTCTTTTTTTTTGTGCGCGTGAAAAAAATACAACCTTAAATATGACATTTTAAAGCCACAAAAACAGAATAGAATAAAGCTTTTTCTTTTGCGAAAAAGGAAAAAAAATGTTGGACCAATAAAAAAACTAATGCAGTTAGAGAGATAGAGAAAAAAAAATAGACTATTGCATCGTATTAATGACTTTTTTTTTTTTCAATTGATATAATCTTATCTTATGAACGATTCTCTTTTTCTTAAATTATTCTCGCCTCTTCAGATTAACATGAAATAATGCGATAGATGTTCACAATAAATAAGAAGTTCATATATGTGCAAGAGAAAAAAAAACTTGATGCTTTAATTTTACGAATACTCGGACAAATAATTAAATACAGTAAAGATGATATTTCTTTTATATCACATAGGCTTTTTTCTTCTTTTTTTTTTTTTTTGAGGAAGAAATTTAACAAAAAAAGAAAAAACAAAGAAAATGTATCCATTTTTTTCTCTGTATTGTTGTCATTGTCATCAACTGATTTATTATCGATATGTGTACTCAAAAAATATACTTTATTTTATTTTATTTTATGTTTTTTGATTGATGTTACTTGTGTGTGTGTGTGTATCAAACATGAAAAAACATTATCTAATCTTTGTGTAAATGATTCGATGTCTAATAGGATTAGTTTCGAAGGGAAAGAAGAGAAGGAGACAATTCAAAACTTCGAACTTCGATACACATAATAAATACATAGTATGAACTGACCAACAATAGGAGAGTCAATCGATATTTGAACGGTAAAAAAAGAAACTTTGATTGTCTTTCTTTTTTTTTTTGTTAAAAAAAAAAATGATGAATCAAGGCAATTCTAACTAGAGAATGATTATGAAATTTTAAAGTATAAATTAGACAAAAAAATAAAAATAAGTACATTCTTCATACGAACAGTTGAATATGATGAAAGAAATGAAGAAGAAGAAGAAAAAGAAGAAAAAATTAATAATAATAAATCGAGAAACATAATGAAAAAATAAGTATTTTTTTTTGTCAATATTTTTTGTTTGTTTTTCGAGTACTAAAATGGGTGAGAAGAAGAAATTAATCATTGTCATTATTCTAATTAATATTATGAGAAAAATGATGATTAGAAAATAATATTTTTTTATTTATTATTATGTTTAGATCGTACTCAATTACAGACAATGCCAAATAAAGATTTTGCCGATTTAGTTATGTTACCACGGGAATGGCGTCGAGGTGATGATATTCTATTGTGGCCAAAAAATCATGATTATTATAATTTACAATGGTTAGAAAATTTATGGAAATATATTAATGAAAAATTACCCAATGATTTATCAATGTTAGAAAATACAAATATTCTCTATGTATTACCTTCTACAAATTCAACTGTTACATCTTCTACTACTACACAACAACGTGGTACAATTACATTATATAAATTATCTAAAAATATTGGTCTTATTCAAATGTTAGCATCACCAACAAAAGATGATCTTAGTTTACAAAAAATATTAGGAAAATTAAACTTTCATTGTATTGATGCATTTCCCGATATTGTACGACGACATTCATGTCTACATACCTATGTACCAACATTAACATGTCAAGGTATATCTTATTAAATTAAATTTTAATAATATATCTTTATTTTTTATTTTATTTTTAGGTTTATTACAAATCTTACGTTATCGTTTACGTCATACAACACAATTAAAAATTGTTCAAGAATTTAATACACTTCTTAGCGATTCTGATATAAAATTATTTCGTCAATATATTTCGAGAATATCATCATTAGATTTAGATGAACAAAATATTCAATGTATTAAACAATTACCAATATTTGATAATGCTTATAATGAAACAGATTCATTAAAATATATTTCATTAACAAATGTTTTATATATTTATGAAAGTGGACCAAAATTACCTTTAGATTTACAACCAAAATCATGTATACATGTAACAGACAGTGATTCGAGAATATTATTAGATAAATTAGGATATGTTATACATGATTTTACACATGTGGCAAGATATATAATAACAACAATTGCTGCAGGCAATGCACAGAAACAAGAAACAACAACATCAAAAATATCGACAGATTATGTAAAAATGACAACATTAGGTATAAAAAATAAAAAAAGAACATTTACTTTTTCCTATGTGTTAATAAATAAACAAAATAAGATAAAGATAAGAGATTAGAGCTTTTTGTCGCATTACAACGAAATAAGAGAGAGAATTTATATGATTTTGTTGTCACTGACCGTCATCCTTCTTCTTTCACTACTAAGCTACAATTTTCATTTATAATTCGTTTCTTTGTGTCAATTAGTGATAGGAGTTTTTCTACAATTACTAACCACTACAGATTTTTGAAAGAAATTAGGAGCATAGTATGAGTAACGAGAGATATATTATTTCATCGAAGAGACTTTTGAAGAACAAATGCAAAAAATTTTTATCAACTAACATCTCCAGTTGATACTATCTATTCTGTCGTAACTTAACTCTATAACCATAGAGTAAACATTTGAATTTTAACTGAGAAACATTTTTTTTTGCTGTTAAAAGTACAAATTCTATACACATCATCCTTTTGTTAATTGCTGAGCATAGTTTAGCATTTATATCGAGACGTTCATGACTACTCACGAGAGAGAAAAATTTTAAAGATTTTTTAAATTGGTTTTATTGTAGTAAATGGAACACTTCCATTTATTCTCCTTTTCATTAAAAAACGATCTATTTTCAGAAATATCTCATAAATCTGGAATCTTTAAGCTTTTTGTTGAAAATTATCGACTAGAACATATGCTCTTTGTGTTATCTATGTGTCTATCTAAATGAGGAATCGTAGATGAGTCGATTTCAATCCCATTAACTTCAATTATATCTGTCCTTTTTTCATTGCGGTCTATGAAACTGTTTGTCTCTACACTCTTCATTGTTGAGTGACATTATGTGTGATCTATGTGAGAAAATGAAGAGAATTCGGAAATTTACTTGATTCTGCATATTATACTCGAACTAATTCAGTTCAACTATTATCGTCTGATGAATTATCTCGATCACAAGTTGGAGATAAATGAACATCAGATTTTTTTTTTGTTCTATAGTCGATGGAAAACGTAATTAATAACGTATATTGTTTTTTGTCTAGGTAAATGGTTATTAGCTCATTGTGCCTCGTTGATATTAACCGATGTTTTATGTCAAGAAACATTGTCATCGTGTAAATTGTTTTTAAATAAAAAACAAGAACTTTGTTCATGTTCACAATTAATTGATCCCTATTTTAAAGAAAAATATTTACCACTATTTGACGTTCGTCTATTACCGTGTCAAGAATTACTCGATAATGATAAATATTTATCACTTTTAAGACATTTAAAACTACGTACATGTTATGATTTAAAATGTGATGAACTCATTGATATATGTGAACACCAAAAAGATCAAAATAAACAACATAATCGAGCATTATTAGCCGATTTTATCTTGGAATTACTTATTCATAATCCAAAATTATTAGAAGATTATTCACAAGCTAAACGAATTGTACTTAAACAATATTTAAATATTACACCATGGGTACCAGTTCAAGTAGAACGACCACAACAATATCCACAAACATTAACGTGGCAAGGTAAAAAATGACACATATTTGTATAATTCAACATTTTTTAATAAGAAGAAAAACTTCAAAATTATATAGGTATCTAAGAAAATATGTTACATATTGTTTTATTTTCTAGGTTCAGTCGATCCACGTCGTTTATATGTGACACCACGTGATTGTACAGATAAATCTTATTCGTATGTGATTGGTAGTGTCTGTTTAATATCATCATTAGACATTCCATTAGAACATCGTGGTAAAATTGATTTACGAGAAATTAAAATTGATTTATTAGTTAAACATTTAAAAATAGTAATACAATGTTTTATGAAATGTACACCGACTGAACATAAAAATGAATATTCAGAATATTCAAATATATGTAAAAAACTCTATGAATCATTATCACATTTTGATATGATTGAAATATCAAAAGAAATGAAAATTCATGATATAAAGTACGTATAGAAGATTCATTTCATATTATCAATGATTAAAACATGTCTTATTTTTATTTTAGTGAATGGATTTGGAATGGTCAAACATTTTCATCTCCTTCTCAAATTTATCTTATTGAAAAAACCCATGTATTAGCACCCTATGTTCAAATTGTACCCTATGATTTTTATTCTTTTACAAAATTTTTTGAACGTGTTGGTGTTAAATTTAAAGCTGATTCATCAAAAATTGAAGATATTTTACGTACACAACAAGGTGATGATCATTTTTATAAATGGATTCGTGATACATACACTGATCGACGATTACTACAATTAGTAAATGATGTTGAAATGAAACAACAACAGACAAATAGTACAAAAACAACAAAAGCATCAACATCCAAAGATGAACAAACAAGAATTACATTTTCATCAACATTAGATAATTCAGATGATAAATATTATCTCTATTTACCAGGTAAATTGTTTAGATTAAATAATATGAAAGAGAATGAAGTTAACGAGAATATTGCACATAATTAAAGCAAGAAGAATATAAGATCAGTAATGATCGAATTTTATTTCAAATGATGTTTTTGTAAAAAAAAAAAACTTTAACTCATTGAGACTTGCATTACTACTGTAATATCATCTACTTGGTATTTTGTGAAAACTTCCAAGAACATGTCTGATTTCCGAAGGATAAAGTTGAGGCAGTTTAAAATCCCATTTTGTTTACAATATCTTAAAAATGTGTTTACCATTCTATATATTCTTATTAGGTGTACGAAGTTTACCTGAAAGTTTTCACAAGTTTCAAAAGTTTTTTTGCTTCACAGAAACAACGCTGACAAGCTTTTTCATATAAGATGGTTAGAGTGTAGGTACGTTCGTATACGAGTCTCACTGATAACTATGAAGAAGTAGTCGAAAGTTGTAGAATGAACAAAATATAGTGCAGAAAATTCTTTTTTCTTTTTTTTTGTATATTGTTTGAAAGAAAAATAACACAATTGAGCTTGGTGTACTCATTTGGAAGAAAGACGATGAGTACTTCACTCCGCTTTTCATTTATCGTTGAAGAGTATTGAGAGGACTTCAGAAGATTTCATAGTTTCGAGCAGCTTGAACATATTTTCGAATGTGATGATTCATCCATTTACGAGTTATCAAACCACAGCTCTGAGCAGAACTTATAAAAACAGTAGAATGGTGAAAAATATACAGAACAATAAGTGCCTATAGAATGATTTCTAAAGTGATTTATTTCTTCATTTTAAAACTAGTTTTTATTACAAAAAACTTTTGAATTCAGTGTAACAACCATATATTCGTTTGGATCAACTCTCTCTTGCTGATTAAACTAATACCGTATTTTTATAATTCTTTGGTGTACATAGGTGAACGTAATAATCTTACAAAATATGTGTTTGAAACGTATATCTTCCGGTCTCAATGAGTTAAAACAGTCTTAAATATGTTCATTCAAAATTTTAGTCTTTATATAGTGACATAACTTCCTAAATTGTCTGTTTAAACTATTATTGACAGAATCACATCATTCTGATATGTTTTATGTCTATGTAGGTAGATATATATTTTAATTTTTCTATTGTTTAGATATATTTAATAAACAATTACAACAAAACAATGTTAAAGAAACATTGGTTCAAGCTCTCACAACTATTATTAAAGAGAAAAAAATTCAATTATTATCTGAAGAAGATTATTTCATTCGAAAAATGTCTGGTTTAGAATATCAAAAGAGTCTTTATGATCATTATCGTATCTACAATGATTTATTATTACCCAATTTAAATGTTTTATCAAAAAATATTAAAGATTCTCTTGTATTATTTGCCATCGATCATTCAGATACATTAATGTTAAATATTTTAAAAGAACATTGTTGTATACCATGTACACCTAATGGTCGTACATTAAGAAAACCATCAAAATTAATTCATCCACATTGTAAATTAGCTCAATTATATTCAGATATTGATGGACTATTTCCATATGGTGGACAAGATTCATATTTAAGAGATGATAGATTAAATGTATTAAAATTATTAGGTAAAATATCATTTTTAATTCTTTTTTTAATTTATGATAAAAATAAAAAATAAAAATATCTATGAATAAATGTAGTTTAATTTCTGTTATTATTTTAGGTATGAAATGTGATGATAATTTTGTTACATGGCAAGAATTAACTGAACGTTGTGAATCTATTCAACGTATACGTGATTATGATTTAGCTTATGAACGATCAATTGCATTATTAACAATTTTAAATGATATGTTAACAATGTATAATAATGGTGCTCCATCAAATGGTTCGATAAATTCGGGTGATACAACACTCTATGATAAAGAATCTCGTCAACGTGCATCACTTCAACTACGAGACATATCATTTTTACCAGTTAAAATACGTCCTGTTGAATTACAACATTTAAATTTACAATGGATGGGTGATAAATATATTAATCGTCTATTAAAACCAAAAGATTTATTATCTCAACATTATGAATTATTAGTTGGTAGTTCATGGCCAATTGTTCAACATTATGATTTATCAAAAATACAAAAAACTGAACATATTTTAATAACAAAACAAATTGAACAATTTTTAGGTTTAGATGATACAACAAAAATTGAATTAAGAGATGTACTTAAACAATTAGATGAAATATCAAAATTATCAGTTATTGGTAGTGGTACAGGAGCAAATTATAATCATCAAACAAGTTCAAAATATATATTAGGTAAGATTAAATTTTATTAATCATATTTATCTTATATTATTGTTGTTTTTAAATATAGATATGTGTTATAATCTATATGATTATATACAATATTATTGTTTTCCACATTTACAAACTCAACAACAATCTTTATCTCATACAAATCATCAACATTTAAGTGAAATTGAATATCGTTCATCGTCAATGTCATCATTACAATTAGAACAATCTATTCGTGATATTCGAGAACATTTTCAACAACGTCGTCTTATCTATTTTCCAGCCGATTTAAATGAGACATCATCATCACCCTATCTCTTTTTATCACTTACACAACTTTTATGGCAATCACCAATAAAAAATTCAACAGTAACACCTAATTTAAAACCTTATTATTATCAAGTACCAGTTACATTACATAAACAATATAAACATTTTTATTTGGATTTATTACAAATTAAAATACAATTAGAATATAAAGATTTATTAACAATTATGGATTCAATTAAGAAAAAATATCAGACAAAACCATTGGATAAAGATGATTTTACATTATTACAAACAATTTATCAACTTATTCTAGACGTTTTTCCTCAAACATCTACATCAAGTTCAACAACACCATTTTATTTACCCAATGTCGATTATGTATTACATCAAGGAAATACACTGTACTATTATCCATTTGAACAGCAATTAGGTAAGTACTAATAAATAATAAAGTCTTATTAAGTAATCTAATCTAAAATTAAAAAAAATAGTTGATTTTTCTTCTTTTTTTTTTGATAAATCGACTATATTTTTACTTTTAAGTTTAAATCTTCTTACCACAAATTGCCAGTAGTCCCACTTTAAAAATTTGAAGTCATAAGTTAATGTAATACAACAGCCTGAAGGTGAAAAGTCTATTTATCTTCTAATGTTGTTTTTAATAATAATAATATATATATATTATTCATCTAATGGTATTTATGTCTTTGATAAACTACCCTAGAATACACGAATTATACAGGTGTGCATTTTCATCTTTCTTTTTTTTTAAACATATTCGATTACATGCTAATATTTATTTATTTTTAATTCTTTATCAGTATGTTTTGTGTCAGCATGCATTCTCATAGTAAATATTAACTGTGAATTTCTCTAGGCAAAAAAAAAAAAACTTGGGGTTTAAAAAAAAAAAACCAAAAAAAAAAAAAAAATATATTAAAAAAAAAAATTTTTTTTTTTTTTTTTTTTTTATAATGAGAAAAATGAGCTTTTTATTTTGCTCAGTTGTCCATATTCATCTTAGTCTGAAGAAGAAAAAAATAAATCGGTTAATGTCGATTACTAAAGAAGTACAAGGTTAAATTTTAATAAAATAATAAGAGATTAGTTTTTTAATCAATATTACTGTTTCGTATCAAGTTATTTGGTTTCATGAATTTTTTTATTCTCTAACAAGAGATAAACTATATTTTGACTTTTCAATGGTCAATTTTTAACGGATATCAGCAAACAGATCAATTGGTGGTAGTATCACGGTAATAATTTAACTGTATTATGCACAAAACTATCATCTTATCGATTCTTAAACTAATTATCAACAATAACAACAAAAAACATAGATCTTAAACTATGTCCAACCATTTCATATAGGAGCTATATTATAATCCCTAAAAGAGATATTTTCAAAACAGTTATAAATAATCGATATTTCATGTTTTTTTTCTCTTATTCTAGTATCGTCTCCACAAGATGAATATTATGTTCATCCATCTGTCGATCGTCGTATATGTATGAAAGCATCTGTAAAAGTACGAAAATCACAATCTTCCGCTTCACAGCAACAACAACAACAACAACAACATTCTACTCCTCCTCCAGCATCAATGCCTGTTTCGGATCAACAACAATCAAATTCATCATCTCGTTTATTTCCAAAATTATTTGGTAATAAAAAATTAGAATCAATTTTAGCTCGTTTAGATGATCCTCATATAAATCCACAATTAGTAGAAAATATGGATGAAACAAATCCAAATATTGTACTCGAATTTCTATTAGAATCAAATAAATATACTCAAATAACTAATAATTTATCGGATGATGATATTACAATTATTCTTAAATATTTTAATGATTTTCTTGCAAAAAATTATCAAGGTATGTATAAATAAATAAATATTAAATTATTCATTTTTAATTAAATATAATTATTTTCTTATAGGTAATTTTCAAAAGTTACGTGAATTAAAAATTTATAAACCATTGTGGGGTTCATCATCATCACCTGAACCTGAACATTCATCATCAAAAACTCATCAACAACAGCAATTATGTTGTTCTCTTGAACAATTTAACTATGTTTATATTCTTAATGAAGATTGGTCAAATTTAATGCGTCGTTCATTTAAAAAAAATTTTTTTACTGAACAATTTCATGAAAAAAAGAGTGTTTTATTAATGCAAAAAAAAATTGAACCATTATCTAAAATATTTATTCATTTACGTTTTCATATACCAACAGATATGGATATTTTCTTACAATTATGTTTACCAGGTTTTCGTAAACTCGATGTTAAATCACAATCAAATTTATTAAAATATTTTTCTGATGATATTGATGAAAAATTGAGTCAACATGATAAAGAACAATGTCGAAAATTATTACATGATAAATTAGAAATATATTCTCAAGCAACATCAGAAGATAAACAACAACATTTTACACAAATAAGAACAAGTGTAAGTGTTATTTTATCTAATAAAATAAGTATTTAATTTTTAATAATTTTTTTGTTTTTGTTTTTATTTCTAGCGTGATCCACCTGAAATTTGTCCTATTACCGAATTATATGATCCACATATTAAAAATATTAAATCTATATTATCGATGCATTATTTTCCCGATGAACAATTTCATACACCATCTATGTTAAAATTTTTAAAAGAATGTGGTTTAAGATCATATATTCAAATTGATAAATGTAAACAGATAATGGAATCAATTCAAACACATGTTAAAGAGAACGGATGGACATCTGAACAAAGAAAACGTTCTAAATATTTGTATGAACATCTCTTAGATAATTGGCAACGATATGATAATTCAATATTAGATATTAAATTTTTAGGTATGTCAGACAGTATCATTTATAATTAACTACTAATATGCTGCAAACGAAATTTAAAAATAGTTAAAATATCCACTGAAAATAGAGTTATCTAATGTATGAATTGTCACTATGTAACCCAGATTGAAGAAAAAAAAGAATTTTTGTCTGGTATATTCCAATGGGATTAAAAATGCAGGTTTTGTCTCATTGTTCACGCTTGAGACGTACAAATTTTTAAAGATTAATTTAAATGAATATTATTCTTTCCAACAAGTACTGATAAACAGCTCGTTTCACTTACTTTACGTGAAAAACTGTCACTAATTACCAGTCAACTTTATATTTCTTCTTTCTCTGAAGTGCAATTCGTAATGATAAGTAAAATGTTCTCATTCATTAACTTCTTGTCTTCTACAGAGTATGACTCTTATCTTAGATTCATTCGTACATCATTGTTTTGACTTCTTTTACTAGAACCATATCGAATGATCTTTGAAAATGATGATCTATTACAATTACACGAACAATATACAGCTTCGGATGATGTAAATCAATTAAAATATACTTGTATTAAATTGTCAGATGGTGAATTACTTCAATATTCAAAATTATGTTGGACATCATCGTATTTATTACCAGAATTTGTTCGTCTCGAACAATATTCTGATTATACAGATCAAACACAACAGATAGATCAAAATTGTCTTGATTTTTTTAAATTAGACAAAAAACCGTCATATGCCCTTGTTAAAACAAATTTAATTAATTTATGTGAAAAATTTTCATTAAAAAATAATAATCCTCAACAAAAACAAAAGGAGAGGAGGTATGTGTCAGTTTAGATTATCTTCTATTTTTTCAATGATTCTATAAATTATTTATTTATTATTTTCTTTTTAGTGATTTAAAATCTGGTTCATCTGCTTCACAACATATTATCGATGATATTCTTATACCCGTATTAAAAGCAATTTATTCATATTTTCAAACAGAAATTAAACTTGAACGACGTTCAGAAATTTATAAAGAATTAGCAAATAAAGAATGTGTTTATTCTAAAACACGTCGACAATTTTTATATGGAAAATATTTTTGTTTAAATTTACCTGTTCAAGATGAAATACCACCATTTTTATTTTCATTACCCGAAGAATTTTTAGAATATAAAAGTTTTTTTCAACAAATTGGTACACAACAAGAACCCCATCCAATGTTATATGGTGATATTTTACGAAAATTATCAAAAGTATGTGATACAGATTATTTAAATTCAAATGAATTATGTAAATCATTAAAAGCTATGGAATGTTTTTTCAAATATTTATCAACAAATTCAACAATAACAGCACAATATAAATTATCAGGTGTGTTTTTACTCTTAATCAATTGAATTTTGATCATTATTATGATTAACTATCTTTTTTTTTGTTTCTTTAGGTTTATATTTGGTATCAAATGATTTTAAATTAATAAAATCAAATGATATTGTCATTATGGATGATAAAACAAAACTTGACTATATGACAAAATTAGTACACGATAAATTTATGTTTAATCCAAATGAACGTGTTTTAAAATTAGATCAAACATCATCATCAAATTCAGCAACATCAAAATCTCAAACATCAACAACAGCACTTAAAGATATTATTGATAAAATATTTGTTAGTCAACGACCTGTTTTATTTACACAAAAATATGAAGAATCATTTTCGATTACAATACCGGAAGATGAAGAATCACATCGCCAACGATTCTTATTCAATTTAGGTAAGTTTATAATTAATCGATTCAATTTAAAAGAGTTTTATATCTTCAATTCATATCAAATATAAACTATTTATCGAAATAATTGATGAAAAAATGTTTGATCAAATTCTTTAAATTAAAGAATGTTGTCTATTAGTTTGAGTTTAGTGTAAGATTAACATATTTTAGTTTTATATATTTTTGTTTTTAGAACGTAAATACAATCAATTATTATCCTCTCGTCATTTACATCGTTGTATGGCACGTGTTATTGCTAATCATGTAGCTCGTCAAACAAATCCAAAAATAATTTCACTTGATGATGTTGAAAATCTTATTCGACAACGTTTAACATATGTTAAAGTTACATGTGTCGAATATTTAGAAACAAATTTAATATATAAAAAAACACAACAAAAAGTTGATCAATCGGTTGATGAAAAAGCTGTCTATCTTGTTGTAGAAGGTGAAGAAAATATTATATTGTATATTTCAATGAAACATACTGAACAACCCTATTTTACATTATGTTTGGCAAGAGCATTAAGTCCATGTTTGGGTTTATCTGAATTACAATTGGATAATAGTGTTATGGCAGCATTATTAGCAACAACAATTGGTCAAATGTCAAAATTATTAAATTTAGTTAATGTAGCAACAGATGAAAATATTTTATCAATTTTAAAAATGCAATATATACCATCGCCTGGAAATGTTTATGGTGATGATATTGAAGCATTACAACTATTCAGTATTGATCAACATCAAATATTGCCAGGTAGATAAATTTATTCATACATACTTTTCTTTATGGTATATATATATATATATAGTCTCTATATTCAATTTAAAATTTAGGTGATTTATGTGTCTATAAATTAAATGATTTATATATTTATTGTGAAGTTGAACGTATTATCAAAGAATATCCATCTGGTGATTCATCTAAATCATCATTTCGAAAGGATGATACTGATGAATGGTCATGGAAAAAGAATCAACAACAAAATTTACCAAATTATACGTTTATATGTAAAATAGATGAAAATAATGGAACACAACGTATTGAACAAGATCAATTTTATGTATTAGAACATTGGTCACGAATATTTGATGCTGTTTCAACAACTCCACCAGATGAACGTGAATCATCAAAATTTTCAACAGATAATAAGACCGGTCGAGATTCATCATCAGGTATATAGATATATATAAGTTATATATGATAAGAGAAAATAGCCGAATGACGACTAAAAATTCGGCTAATTAGCTTGAGTGCACTTTCATCTTTCTAATTATTATGCTTTATTGCTTGAAATTTTGTTTGTAAAAAAACGAAGTATGTGAATTATAACATTGTAGAACAAAAATCTTTGATACTATGGGAATGTAACTACGTATAAATAGCTTGAGTATGACCGCTTTTAACATCTATAATAAGATTCAAATGTATAAATATGAATGAAATGTTGTACAACGAATAAAATTAACTGTTTAATAATGTTAATCATCTGCTTCATTTTTCACTATAGTATTTGATTACAAAAAAGTTTTCAAAATATATTGAATGTTAGTTTGAATGTGTTTGATTTTTATTAAACTAGACGAATGAAATTGCATAATGCCTTTATTTATAATTCTTCTTTGTTTATAACACATTTTTGTCGTCATTCGGCTAGTAAATAATTTAAAATAATATTGTCGTTTTAACCCATTGTGTGTGACTATTTTTCTAGGTGCATCTAAACATGATCGTGATGCGACCGGTGGTGATGGAAATCCTAACATGCATAATTCACATTCTTCTTTTTCTAATAATAATTCTTCTTCCTCTCATCATCGTTCATCACGTCATCATCGTGGAGAGGGTAAAACAGGTTTTCATAGCGATCCAGGAGCAACGGGAACTAATGGACATTCTCGTACAGATAGTGATTCATCAAATGGTACGGGTTCAGAATCTCCGTCAGAGTCAGAATCTTCATCAACTCAACAACAACAGCAAGATGCAATAGATAAAAAAGAGTTAGAAGACGTAAAATCGGAAATATATACTGCCGTGCGGAATGCCTATCAACAAACGGGTCAAGAACGAAAAAAAACAGTGAAAAAATTATTATTAAAATGGCATCCAGACAAGAATCCGGGACGTGAACGTTTTGCAGCCGAAGTATTTAAACATTTAAGAAAACAAATCGATCATTTTGAAAATGATCCATTAACATCATTGTTTAATACGTTCAATAATTTTCATCATTCACCATTTTCAGGTAAACAAGCTAAAGGAAAATATTTGCACAAATGAATTAAGAACAAATTTTTATGAAATTTTTGTATACAAAAATATATTTTTTTCTTTAACAGATAGTTCATAAATTCTTGCTCTTATTTCAAATTGCGAATTTTTCATTTTTGTGCTATAAAATTTTAATCAATGCTTACTTCTTCCACTTTCATAGCGAGCGATCCAAAATTTTCTTGGAATAAAACTCATAAAACTGAATCATCTACAACTGGAACTACAGGAGCTGGTGATTCAACTACAACAGATAGCGGTGCGAAGCCTTCTGCATCAACATCAGCTGGTGGTAGTAGTGATTACTTCCGTTATGGTAGTTTTGATAATTTAAATAATGATGATGTTAAACGTTCGTATCAAGATATTCCACGAACACAAACTACATCAGAAAATACAACTGATTCAGACACTCAAACAAATGGTGGAGGAACATTTTCAGCTGGTACCGGAAAAACTCGTTTCTCACCACATCGTTCATCATCATTTCGAACAGCCAGAGAAGAATGGGCTTATAGACGTCAACATGGATTTCAACGAAGACATGGTTTCTTTTCTCCAACAGAAGAACAGCCAACAAATGGTACATCGGGCACAAATGGAACAGCAAATGGTGCACAAACTGGCACACAAGGAAGTATGTACGAGTTTAATTTTAATCTTATATTAGTAAAACACAAATTCTTAATACTACTCACAGATCTTAAAAAATGTTTATCACTGAAGCATGCAGCGCGCGAGTGATGACGATGATGTTAATGATCGATCTATCACCACCGGCACACACACACACACAGTCGATTAAACTTTTTCTCTTCTATTTCACTATCTAATTAAACTATTCTATTTTTCAGAACCAGCGCCTATTTTTGGTGAGTTTTAACGAATCGAGTCCCACATGTTTTTAATAACCTCTATCGATATAAGTTTACTGAAATTTGTCTGCCACGTCTATTTTATGTTCTCATCATTGTTGTAAGTTATAAACTAAAGAAAAGGACTATAGTAAATTCAACATTTTTATCTTACGTTGGCAGACAATTTCATGTTATTTGTTGACCAAAAACCTTATTTTTATTCAGTACTGACGTAGATTATTATTTCTTTGAATAATACATAACTTCTAGTAGATTCCTTTAGTATTATCTGAAAAAGTCTCTTGATTTTGTGCATGTTTAAAAACTTCTTTTATAAGTATGTTTTTCCATTCATAGTTCCTTCTACTGACGAGTGTTCACTTTTAGTATTTGTATTTGCATGTGACCTCTTCTCTAGAGTAGTATAACATTTCTTCTGCAATACTGCTTATTTAACTCATTTTTGTTATTTTATATTTTTTATAGAAGAAAGTCCAAATGCACGCCGTAAACGTAATTATCAACAATCAGAAGCTGATCGTTGGTTAAAACAAGCTCAACACGATTTAGAAAGCTCATATAGTGATATGCATTCATCAACAGGGAATGTTGCTTATGATTGGGCATGCTATAAATGTTACAGGGTAAGTTGATATATACTAATATTAATAAATTAAACTAAGTGCGTATTTTCTTTGATTTTAGGCAGCTGAAAAAGCGTTAAAAGCTTACCATTATTTCAGAGACACCGGCAAAAATATGACGGCTGATATTCCGGGCTTATTGATCGGCGTTGATAATGATGTGAGAGAAATTGGCTATAAACTATACAAATGGATTGGTGATCCAAATCGAATGCAATATCCAAACGCAGCTAGATTTGCAAAAATACCCGCTGAAGTATTCACTGTCTGTAAGTATTAAAACTATAAGTAAAATGATCTGCGATGCTTGAATTTATTTATTTCTAATACTTGTTCGTACTATACCAATACTAGCCGTTCGATAGCATTCTTATCTCAGATGGACCAGAAAGCTAGTTGCATGTATGGGAAACTTAAGCAATTGAGTGAAAGAATTTTGCATCAACTAGCCTTCTTGCTCAAAGCTATTCAAGATGACGAGTAACGAAACTGATGTTCAATTTCGAAGATTGACACGTGCAGAAAAGGCGTTGGGACTACTGGAACTGATAAATTTCTCAAAGACTTGTTCGTATCCTATCTGAATAATGATAGTCTCAAGGCAAAGTATCCATATTCTTTGTACTCTACGTTATTATTTATTCTATTTCAGCACAAGCTGAACAAGCTATCGAATACACAAAAGAACTATTGAAAAAAATTGAAGATATCATGTATCCGTGAATCATCATTGTTTTGACATATTTTTTATCTCCTATTTTTCTTGTCAGTCGCCAAATCTGTCTATTTAATATATAACCATTTTCTAGTCACAATTTTAACTTATAACAAAATATCTCGCCTTGTTTTTGTTTACAGAAGGCACACACATTTATTGTTTTATTAACCGAAACAGTATATGAGAGTACACACATCTTCCATATAATTCCTCACAATTCTCGTTTTACTGTTATTTTTTTTCCGTTTTTTATACATATTCGTCCATATTTCTAGTGCATTCTCTCTCTCTTTCTCGCTCTCTCTCTCTCTCTCTCTCTTTTTCACACCTTTTCTCTTTTTGTCGATCAATCAACAAACACAAAAATGTATTCGAGCTCACGTACACATTTGTAATATGGGGAGGAAGAAGTTTAGTTATGGGCGTTAATTATTCTCTTTTAGAGATGAATTTATAAATTCATCTCTCTTGTTGTTATTTATCTTGGTTTTTTTTGTTCGTGTAATTTTTTGTTACAGTTATATAGAATGTAGAAAAAAACAAGACGTGTGCGTTTGTTTGTTTTTTTAAAATCTTTATACTATTCTGTACAAGTGTTTTTGTTTGTTTTCTACTTTTTCTTGAATGAATTTGTTCGTTTTTTTTCTAATACTATAGTTATTATATAATTATTATCACAATACTTCTGCTATTCTAATCGCATATCTGATTGTTTCAGTTTCAAATTCAGATCCTTTTTTTGTTTCATTATGAAGGTGAAGAAAGAAAATAAAATATAGGTAAAAATAAAAATGAAAATAATTAATCATTGCTTATATAAGCGTAAATTTAAACATGGAAAAGAAAAGGAGATTCTAGTCACCATTAATCTAATTTATATAGATAAAATGGCCTTATTACAAAACTTATCGGTATCTAAATGAGATCTTTTGATATAATGTAGTAATTTTTCCTGCAATGACTCGGTAATTGATCAAGAATCATGTGATTCTTCCTGTTCACTCATCAAAATTTCAAATGTTTTCTGTTCACTTCGTTTCCGATTACTGTTTTGAGATGGCGGCAACAGATTTCATTATTATCTTCCGATAAAAATGTGTTCAGTCCAAGAAATTCTTTAATCGAAATATTTCAACAATAGCTAAATCTTAAATTATTTCGTAATTGATTGATTTTATTGTACTTTGAGGTATTTTAAGATGGAGAAAACCAAAAATATGGGTCTTTTTTGACGGGTAATTCTTTATGAAATGCACCATGTTTACATTGATTTATGTCAATCGTTCAAACCTCCGAAACTGGTACAACTTGAGCGTTTGCTGGTGAATATCATGTCAGAAAAATGTTAATTTATTTTTCCAACTTACTTTCCAAACATTCAACATGTCGTGTGCAGAAAAATTTTCAACTGTATGAAAAACGACAGATTTTCGAAAAATTTGAGTTCACCGTTTATTCTATGGAGAGTATTGCTGAAGAATATTTTTATCAACAATATTACTGTCTATTTTTGTCATAATAACTGCAGTCGTAAACGAGTTTCTTTGTTTTTAAAATACAAGCAAAAAATCGAAGATTTCGCGTTAGTATTAGAGTTCATTCATACTTATTTCTCCAGCATTGTGATCCATTTATTTTCAAGATAGTCATTCTCAATACTCGCTAGTTACTTATCAAGTGATTGTTCAATTTTTTTCTTTGCTGTTGCTATTTTTGTGCTTGAAAAGAGGAAAGAAAAAGAATCTTAGAGGCTTTGCTTTGGTTATAGCACAGCTGACTGAAGTCAGGTCATATTTGACTTGACTTGACGTGAGAAATTTTTTATAACTTATGAATTGACTTGATCTGACTTGAAAATGTTCTTAAAAGACTTGACTTGACTTGTGGCTTGGCATAAAAAAATCAAGTCAGGTCACGCATATTTTTAAACCTCTTATGCAATCTTATTTTAAATAATAATTTATAATGTTTTGGGAATGTTGATGTTATAACGTAACGTCTCAACTGAGATACAATTCATATTTTAATCAAGTATTATTTTAAGTTGATCATTATTTCTCATTCTGCAAAATTATTCGTTTCTCAACTGAGATACAATTTTGACACGTGCGTTGAACCGTGCAGTTGTGCAAGAGTGCAGTGTATAAAGGTCTATTATTCAATAGTTCTACAAAATCTACAAGAATTACAGCAATTTTCACGCCATTTTGCATACTTCGACGTTTTTCACAAAACTCGTCATTCAGACATAAGCACTCATGACGACGTGGAGATCAATGAATAAGAACTGATTTTGTTGTTACGTTTTTTTCATACATGCGATTACTTGATAATAAATTAATGGTCATATTTGACTATGTAATGTGAAGATAATTCCTATAGTGACTATTGAATAATAGACCTTTGTACACGTGCACTACATGTGTCAAAATTGTATCTCAGTTAAAAAACGAATATTTTCATAGATATAATGGTTTCTCAACTGAGATACTTGATTAAAATATGAATTGTATCTCAGTTGAGTCCAAACCTGTTATGATATGAATAATATGAACTATGTTAGGCTCATTAGAACATTGTCTTTTTTATGATTATCTTTTGAAATACGAAAAAAGAAACATCGTATCTAAACAAAAAGCCGAAGCTCATAGAAAACCGATAATTTGCCCAGCTTCACTTTGGGCATTTTTCTACGGAAAAAAATTTCAAGTCATGACTTGTGACTTGACTTGACTGGAGAAAATTTTTGATGACTTGGCTTGATTTGTGACTTGGAACACCCGTGACTTGCCTAGCTCTGGATTATAGCGTCAAAGTTACTGTACTCAAATGTAGTTTGGTGAAAGTTAGCATTAATTAAAGACGTAAATTTTTAGTTTTTCAAACACCGGTTCGATATCAAAACCAAACGTCTGTTCTTGTACATTTGTATTTATTGTTCTGTAATCATGGCGTCTTCCTGTGCTCGCATTGCACAGAGCACAATTATAAGTAAATGATAATATCCGTTGACCTCCTTTCTTGAGATGCTGATGGTATGATGGTTGTCAGTTAAAAGTGGATAAAAGAGAAATGAAAGATAGATAAATTTGCCAAAACTTAGCATAGTTTTTCTCAAAATATTTCATCGACTTTTCTTTGAGGTTCTAGATAAGGGTATCCATAACAGAGCTGCCACCTATATAAGTCAGAAATTCGGAATCATAATCATAATCCCGAATTTATTTTAGCTCTATATGATGGTCTGCGTCAGGCTAGCCTTCTGGCCAGAGCTGCACTTGATGACTAGTAACGAGATGGCTGACCATTTCAGAAGCTTATCAACTACAGGGAAGATATCGAGTTCTAAACTACCGCGGCAGCACCCTGCACGGTATCCGCAAGGCGGGGTATTCTTCCTATATGATTTACTCGATACAATACAAGAAAATAACAACATAAATATAAATTTCGATTTTAATTGACATGCTATTTTTTGAACGTATATTTTTGATTCCAAAAGTAACTGGCACTTTAGCTGGCCTATAATATGAGAAAGGCAATCTCCACAAACTATAGATAAAAACACACTTAAAAATTTTCATGATCAGGGACAAACAGCCAACTATTTGTCGTATTTTTACAAAAAAGTTTCTTAGAACTTAAAAAATATACATACAGTAATATCTAAACAAGAGTATTCATCGAAATAAAAACAAAAACATTTTCGGGAATAGAACAAATCGTTAAAGTGTGAACATTCGATGGTTTAATTCAAAATAAATTAAACAATTGCATGCGACTACTTTCTCTTAATAATAATAACAATAATTTTTCATAAAAAGATGAGAGTTCACAGATTGTCGATTTATAAAAAAATGAATCAAGCCAGACAACCAAAAGAGTCACAATAAATAGATAAAGTGGAAAGACTAGAGTATAGTATAAAGATAATTGGAAGCAAACAAATGAAAAAAAAGTAAATAAATAAAGAAGTAAACAAATAAAGACTATCCATGCCGAGCTTTTTTTTAAAATACCGGTGATTCAGCAAAATACCGTCGGTATACTGCACCGCACGGTTAACCGCCGGTAGGTAACTTATTAGATCGCGGTCTAAGAAAATACCGCATGATAACCGTTTTTTGTTCATTCACATTGCATTTTGCACTCACGAAGATATAAAACAAACAGAAAATTCGAGAAACTTGATTTCTTCTTAAGATTTCTTTTTAGATTAAATTTTTCTTTTAGATCATATAGACTGGAATTTTGAACTTCGACTCGAGTCAAATTTCTCTCTATCAGGAGCCTGTTTGCACTTACAAGTGCCCAACAATAAAAAAAAACAAAGCTGAACATTAGTTTCGAACTCCTGTTCTACTTGTTCATAATGATAAAATACCAGACGGTATCGCTGGTTATACCGACGGTATACCGTGACATACCACGTAGTTACCGCCGGTATTTTTATTTACTATGGCGGTATACCTCATGGTAACCGTTGGTATTTTGCCGGTATTAAGCACCTGAGTACTGGGAGAAAACGCTGTTTAGCAGTAGGACTGAGTTTTACTATAAGAGATGCCGACATACAGCTCTTACGAATTGATGATAAGAAAGAAAAACGGTAAGTACCAAAATTCGATGCTGAACGTCGGCCGCAGTTAATCCAGAACTATGATTTTAGATTCGCTAGCTATCGTCAGCAAGCCAGTGCATTAACTAAACTGGTTCAATTATGTTAATCATCAAAACTAGCAGTCAATGAATAAAAACAACAACAAAATAGAAAAATCGATAAAAATTATTCGAACTATTACTGCAAACAAACGAATCATATTTATTTCGCTTGATCGATCACATTAGCGTGATCTACTAATATAATAATAATAATACAACGGTCACACATTTAGCATTAAACGTATTCGACATGCGCATACTGTTTATAATCGTGATATTTTCACTACTTGTGGCTATAGGTGCGGACAAAATTTTTGACGATAGTATATGGGTGCGAGCACGCAATTATGAAAATCGAAACAATGATGAGCTTTTATTATTACAACTGTTATTAAAACGTATTTATGATAGTTCATCGGATTTACATAGATCGGATAGTATTGATCGTAGAGAGTGAAAACATTAACAAATGATATATTTTCTATTTTGGCTTTAACAATTTGTATCTATTAATGATTATTATGGCACAGTATTTCTACGTTTCAAACATGAAAGACAGCATGTATGCATTTTTGATACTTTAACTGAGTTGTTTGTTTTTAAACGAATTGCCGAATATGTTTTCAAAACTTTTTTGGTTGTTACATCTAATAAATAAAATTTCTCAAGGTATAAGCAAAACAGGATTGCCAAGTCTTTCGATTTATCGGAATTTTTTCCGATTTTGAGCTTCTTTTTCCCAATGAATTTTGACTTTCTGATTTTTCCCAATTTGTAGAGCTTTTTACTTTTTCCTGAAAAGCACATATATTCTTAAAAGAATTCATTCAGAATTCGTTGAAAGATCGTATGCTTTTTGGCATCATGGCATCATCTATGGCAGGGGACATTTCCAAGAATGACTTTCCATTAGGTTCAGTTGAGAATAAACATAAAAACACAAAACGTCACCAGAAAACGTAAATGTCACGGTGTTTCTGGCACAAAAAAAGGTGTTTTTAGCAAAGATTGGTTAAAAAATCCCAAATATTCTGACTTTTTACAACAAGTTCGCCATGACCCTACTAAAGCACGTTGTTCATCATGTAATTGTAGTATATCGGTTTATGGTGGGGACAAAACCGATCTAGATAAACATGTAGACACTGTAAAACATCAAGAATTTATGAAAAACAAAACAAAAAGTAAGTCCAGTTCCTTTCGATTTATTTTCTCAAGCTTTTTTTATATTTCTTAACGAATTCTAGACTCACTTGAAACATTTTTTACACCATTTATTAAATTAGATAAATTATCAGCTATTGAAGCAACATTTGTATTTCATGGCGTTAAACATACTCGTTCACATTTATCAAAAGATTGCACTGTTTCCGTTGTCAAACGAAACAGTCAATGCTTCAGATAATAGATTTTTTTAACTGTTATTGAATGTGTTTTTTCTGTTGAAAAAACGAATATGTATTGTTGTAGCAGAAAAAGCCTGGTATCTTTACCTTGTTAACGTATTCTGGAAAAAAGCTTCTTCCGATTTTCAGTACAATTATTTTCCGATTTTTTCCTATTTTAGCGGGATTTTTTCCGAACTGCGGATTTTGCACTTGGCAACTCTGAAGCAAAAGCAAAAAAGTGCTATTTTTTACAATTGGACTGATTCTAAGCGTTGTTTCACGAAAAGATTTTTCGGTTCTGTAAACAATATTCTAATCAAACTACTAACGGGTGTGCCATAAATAATGTCGATCTAGGTAATTTTGCTCTAACTCCTGTTCCTTAGGGTCCCCAGAGATGATTATCTTTTTAATAGAACTGTCATAAAATTCTCTACAAAATCATACCTAAAGTTTAATTTCAGAACTTCAATCAAGAAAATTAAACAGATTATATGAATGGCGAAAAAAATACTCAAAAACGCTTTCTTGTTTTAACGTTTTAAAAATAAGAAAGACCGAATTAGCCATTTTGTGGCCAGGGGCTTCTAATTTTGTGTGGCCGTAGGTCTTACTGAATACTGATCATCTACCAAGTTTGTACGTCTTTTACTAGATGGTTCGTGAGATATAAACGTTTTACTTCTTTTTCGTGGTGTTAATAACTCCTGATCCAAGAGAGATGAAAACTTTTTCTTTTTACAAAAATGTAGTCCTGATTCTTCTCTATCTACGATATGAATTTAGAGTGGTAGTTGTTAATGGTTACTGAAAGACAGCTATTTTACGATCGAGATCTCTGGAAATGAGGTTCTGAGATATGAGGTTCTTTCCAAGAAAAATTCATAATCCATTCTAGGAACATCAATACGACTTGAAACTCACAGCAAATACTCTACGACGACTGTAGACTATCCAGTCAAAGTATGAAAGTTAACTATTGTGTGATTCTGGAAATTCATTGAAAACAAGAGCTCACAATTGAAACATATGTGGTGGAGCGAGGGTGAGGAACTAAGGGTCGCTCTTTCTGCTATAGAATCTGCATTCAATGCGCATCATAATTATGAAAAAACAATCATAGAAACTTATGGTTCCGAAAAACATAGGTGAAACTTTTATCAGAAAGATTACACACTCACCTCTGACCTTCGTGATTTCATTTATTTTGCGCCACTTTCACGTCCCTTATATTCTCAAGCAAAACTAATAACATATTTGAGATTAGCAGACAAAACTGAGTCGAATAGTATACTTAACATTTGGTTTTCGAACAAAAATATTCACTGAAAAAACCTCGAGGTTAATGGTGAGTTTGTGCAATAAAGTAACACTACTTTATTTAGCATCGATTGCCTATGTACCATGCCCCTTCGAGATTACCAGATCAAAAAAAACTCCGATCCTAGCTGTCCTAGGAAATTCGATTTTGCAGTCGAACCATGGACTTTTGAGGTTTTGCTAGGATTCAGTTTTGAAGAAGGCACTGTGGGCTATGTATCTGTGAAACAAAATTGATGATTTGTTATTTGTTTTCCAAAGATCCTTTAAAAAACCCGGTTTTTGAAATTCTTTTGAAAAATGCCTCCGTTTGCAGAAAGACACGGTACGGTCTTGATTGTCGAACACTGAGAACCCCACGTCTCTAGTATGTTGCATCTTCTAGTTATACAAAAGGTGGTCAGCCGCGTTTTTTGTTGGCGGCGATAGTAATATATTTTGGTAATCAGTATATAAAACTGTATGGATTTTACTACGAAGTTTTTGATTGATAGTCGTTGATAATTTACATAACATTACCTGTCATAAATAAATGGAGTTGTACATACGTAAACACAGCGCAAACAATGTCTTCTTTTTGATAATGTAAAAATTATGAATAGAAAGAAAAAAAAGAAACGGAATTTATTTCTAAATGTATTTAGTTTCATTCCGGATTGATGTTTTGATCAGAAAAAGTGCATAAATTATCTGTATAGATATTGGTTTTTCGCTGATATGAATAATAAAAAAACTATAATGTAGAACACAGAAAGGTAAGAGGGTTTCGAAAAAAATTATGAATGTGTGCTAAAAAAGATACAAAAGTGCTCTTTAGATTATCTGTTGGTGCTAAATGGAGAAGGCATCTATTTATGTAATGAATGGTAACACCATATTCGCTGTGCCAGTGTAAGATAAAACTCTGAGGTAAATTTATCATATGATTAAAGTGAGAATTAATGAATTATCAAGGTTGTTAGGAAGCATAGAAAGCCCCATTTAGATACTTTAGAAATTCTTATTTTCTGACGTAATATCCTCGTTCTCTGATGTAAATATGTTTCATCACTGTTCCCTTATTGCATGTATACTTTATTGCGTCACTTTTGTTCTTACATCTGTTCCTCCTTTCAAAAAAAACCTATTTGTAATTGCGCAAGGATATGGTCATGGTTATTGCACCACAATATTCAAGATGATTGAACGATATTGCGTATATACATAGATCGGTTTTCTTTGTTAAAACAGACTCTTTTCTTTGTAAATAAACAGTAGTCATATACATCAGAAAACGGGAACGCTGACAAGTGATGCACCGGTCGGCAATCCAACTCCCAATACTACTACTCACTTAAAATAAGAGCTCTAGCAGCTCAGTGCCACTTTTATTTGCAACTAGAGAGTTTGTGCTTTTAGCATTTTGAAGCCAAGGCTTTGACGCATCTTTGCATACGCAAATGAAGTTTTAAATCTTTTCGAAGATAAATTCTTGTGAAGATCTCTGGAAAAATCGGTTAAATGAAGCGTAGGTAATCAACTACATACGCGAGATATTCATAAAACAACCGAGACCATTGTTTTAATCGACTGACAGTAGTAAAATTCAATGAAAAAGGTGGGGTGATTCCAAAATTGGACTCTTTCTCATGTTTGAAAAACCCCGTAAAAAAATAAATAAAGCATTTGTTAGCGGCTGAGAAGCTCTTTCGAATAACGCGATATTATCGCGTGACTCCTTTCATCCGTCTGTTGATTCCAGAAGTCAACTTTAATTAAGACGAACTGAGAAGTCAATTTGGGACGAACTGAGAGTAAACCACAGAAACGAGTCGTCTTATTTAAAATCAATGATAATTACTACTAATTAGCGCTTGAACAGGTGTGAGACAATGTTTTATATTGGTTTCCTTCAGTCGAATAGTAACTATGGATTATATCTATTTGAAGGGGCATATGGGGGAAGTTACTCTTGGAAGAATAATGATTAATGGTGATCGGCATTTTCTTTTAACATGTTTTGTTTAATAGAACCATTTTATCTTTTTCTCCTATATCTCTAATTTTCACCGGTGACACTATTTAAAAAAACATTATTTAAAGATTTTTGTAATCTAGTAGCCAAGTTTTTTGTTGAATTAGTGCTCCACAATCCTGTGTCATCAGCGAACAAATTAGTGTTTGTGTGCAATACCTGACAAGTGAGTGATTCTCGCACAGTAAGCATTTTTCTATAGACCAGCCGGATATGTAGTTTTTTTAATTCAGAAAGAGCATATTTTTGCTCAATATTACTTTATTACATTTGAAATGTTATTGTAAATTAGAAAAACCTGAATTTGGAAAAACATTTTTTGAAAAAAAATAATCAACCTTACCCTAAATTTTTGTCGAAAAACATTTTATTCAGATGATGAGCAAAAGTTATATGTCAGTCGGTATGGTTTTATACGCTGATTTCAAATGTCACATTATTTTTTTTATACTAATGTTTCTGGACTGAAAAACACATTTTAGTTAAAAAAACAGGGTGTTTTCGAAAATCCGTCCCTCTGTGTAGAGAAACTTGTGCATTTTTGTGTATTCACGGTAGATAGGGACATTTTGAGTAACACTTCAACTAATTCAATTTATTTCCAGCTGATTGAAAATGGATTTTTCCTAAAAGGTGGTTATTTTCTAGGCTATTTTTATTTGCTAAATTTCTTCTGAAAAGAGAGCACGTAGAACAAAAACGTTTACACCATAAGATAGATTATGAATTAAAATATAGATGACACTAATTAGATTTAGAAAATGCGCCCTGTTAATTTTTCACTAAATGTCCGCCTGGATACCCACTGTGTCTCAATGAGATATTGGAGTTTCCTTACAAAAAATTTTCAATAAAAAAGCTTGTATTAAAAGGAAGTTCATTAAAATTTTTGATGAAATTCTTGTACCATCAAAAACTATAGGTCACAGCCATTTTGCAGAAGACATTTTAATAAAAATTTCGGTACGTTCATTAAAAAAAATATTTAATGAAAGTTTTTTAATGAACGTCACCCAATCCTACCTCGATCACTAAGAAAGTAATAGACTTACATCCGCAAATATTCAGATAGTTCCATTGGTCTCAATTTATATAGTGAATTATTAAACTAAATAGAATTAAATACTTGTTCTATGTCAAATATAATGAATGTAATTTGTTTATTTTTATATATATATTTATATTAACATCATGTTCAAAATTGTAGTAAATTATCTGCTGTGTATTTATGTTTCCTGTGATCAGCTTGATAATTAGGCTGTTATTTGTGTCATTTTGCAGAATTATTTCGAACGTTGTATGACGATATACTCTCTATCAGTTTGCTAAGACAACAACTGAGAAGACTAATTGGACGATATGATTCGGGAGCATTTAGACTTTATCCAGTTTACACAGCTCACATATTTTAACGGGGAAAAGAATTTTTCAAAATAGTGACAGGTATAGTTTGTGCGATCTAATAAAACACGCATGGTATTTATGAGATTACTCATGACTCGTCGCAACAATGAATGTGGTCAATTAGTTGAAAATATTTTGATAATCAAGGATATCTCTGTATATAGAGCTGGATAAAAAGAGTCGATATCTGAAATTTTCATAACATTCTTTTTCTAAATTCACTAGTTTGGATCTAATTTAGGGAAATGAGATTTTCATCATGGGAATGTAGACAGTATCTTGGTTTATACGTACTGTAAAAAATCGCCTGACACACCAGCAGCATTTTTGATGTAGATGTAAATAAGATTTCCTGTGTATTTCTTCTCTATTTGCCTCTATTTTATATGCAGTGGCTTGAGAACGAAGATATTTTCTGATAAGTAATTTTTTAATTTCACCGGATTTTAATTTAATTAAATCTAAATATAATAAAGAGTATGCATGCACAAGCGTATAAAATAAAGATAAGATAAATATAGAAGGTAGCGTCTGATTTAATTTAATCCTTAATTTTATATTTTTCAATTCCTGACTTTTCCATAATACAAATATGTTCCAGATCGCGAAAATATTCATTATAATCTAACGCATATCCAACAACAAAATGATCCGGTATTTGAAATCCAACATAATCAGGTTTTAATAAACATTTTTTATCTTTTCGACGTTTAATAAATAATGTACAAATTTTCACTGATTTAGGTTGAAATTTTTCTAGTTCTTTTTTCAATGCAACCATCGTCGAACCAGTATCAATCATATCTTCAACAACAATCAAATTTTTGTGTTTCAATGAATTTAAATCGCTTAAACCAATTATTTCCAATTTTTCCGATGACGAATCGTTTACATATGATTTACAACGAATAAATTCCAAACTCATGGGTAAACTACGATCGTTCTGTAAACTAAAATTGAAAACAAAAATATTAAATTTATTCTTATATGTTCGAAATTTAATCAGGCAATCTATAAGATTTTTTCATGTACGATTAAAAGACGTTATTTCCATAATGAATACTAAAATCTCAGATTTCCTTGAGAGTGGAACTCATTCTCACCATTATAACACTACTCAGCAGGTTCTATAATTCATCCGTGTCTCATAGATCAATTTTCTCTAATAATTATCAGTTTATTATTATACGGTTATTATTAGAGTATTGTGTATGAATTCTTTCTTTTGTAGTTTTATTAAAACTTTGACATCTTCATGTTTCATACCGGTTTTCATTTTGTATCTTCGATACTAAATCAGAAAAAAATCGATAGCCACCTTTGAGTACACATAAACAGACCAATTGTTCGGGTATATGAATATGTACATCTAAAAATATACTTGATGCCAAAGCTTCAATTCGATCTTGAACAAGACCATACGGAATCAATACTGATTGTAAATCATCACGATAATGTAATGGTAAATTGAAATATCTTAAAGGATATCCAACAAATTCGTCGGGAATCACCAGTGGATCCGAATCAATTAATGAATCGCGTTTTTGCATCAATGTCGTTTTACCAGTAATAGTAGTCATTCTGCGGATAAAAATAGCTCTACTGAAACCAGTTATATGTAGATAAAAACTATATATTACACTCTACAAGGAAAAAGTGAAAGAGAAAATTAAACAAACTTGCGGCTTTTCTTTTTTTCCTATTCTTATCATGAAAAAGTACTAGATCGTGTCAGTATCTACAACATCAACTGACGCATTCTTTTCGATTTTCTCTTTCTGCACTTAAATCAAGTGTGTTAATCCGTGAAAAGTTATTTGTATGAACAGAAAAGAACAGGCAAAACGACCATCGTATATAAACTAGAAAGAAATATTTACATTTTTTTCGTTTAAACATAAAGAACATTCACATCCTTTAATGTAAATTATTGGAGAACTGATATACATTTATTTCAAAATAAAAGACCCCCCAGTATTTTTTAACTGACTCACGTACAAAAAAGAGCATGGATTTTTATTATTTTGTAGAAAAAACTTGAATTAATCTGTTGGCATAAAAGACCAATGAAAACTTCGGATTCTCTTAACATGTCTTTTAAGTTTTAGTCTAAGTTTCATGACTTGAATTGCCACACTAATCTGCACATTTAAAATGTAGTCAAGCTAGACTACGATGTCTTCTACAAAGCTTCGTAAGATCTATCTCGCAAGCTACCACAGTGCTCAATGACAAGCATTTTCTTTGGACCTAACAGGCTCTTGATGATGACTGTTTTTCGAAAAAACACCAGAAACTCTCGTGTGAAAATCTAAGCTACGTGAAATGAATTTTCGATTATTTCTACACAAAACAAAATGAAAGTTTAAGTCAATAGAAAGTACTGAATTGTTAAGAGGATTTTATAGAAATCTTTAGTCTATAAGAGTACAGTTTTTTCACGAATCTGAAGTACAGAATCAAATTGAGCAGATAAAATATAACATAAAATAGATAAAATTGATAATAAAATAGAGCATTCTTTTATGGAAGACAACGAAACTAGTTACATCCCGACATGGTCTTCTAAAGATACTCTCCGATTTCTTTTCTTCTATTGGTTAGTTCCACGCAGCTTCGACAGTATTACATGATCTGAAAGCCGGTCAGAGGTTACTCTTGTCATCATCCAGAGCATGAAAAATCATTTATAAATCCACACATTTTGGCTGCCCAAACGGTTTCGAGAATGGCCGCTCATAGCTCGCAAAATACGATTTTACCCGTACTCTATGGAAGGAGGAGTATCCTGAGTATCTAAATACCAATTTCACCACTAAATCTGAATTTTTCTCACAGTGATGATCGAAAAGAACACAAAAAGTTGCGTATGTTCCCCCCAAAATTAAATTTTTCCTAATCATTTTTTATACAAAGCTTTTCCATGAAAAATTTAACCGTTACTGGCTAAAATTACGTTTTTTAGTTCGAGAAAAATTCATCCAAAGATTTAGAGAAACAACCTTATTTTGAAATGAACACAAAGCGCACTGAAGCTTGTCTGAATGCTACAAGAACAAGCTCGAAAATACTGTGAACTTTTCGAGATATTATTACCTTAGATACTATTCGAGTATCTACAAAAGCTGTCAAGTTTCGACCCCAAAAAAATTTCTGGGGTCGGTTTTCTAGAAATCCTCGTCAAAATCTTAATCTCATATTTCATAAAGAATCAGCTTTGATCTCGGATTCGTGTTTAGACTCAGAAATGCTGCATAGTTCAGTATTTTCTACTCTTCTGGAGACTATCTGGAAGTCCAGATTTTTACAAAGATTTGGAAAACCGACCCCAAAAATTTGTTCAGCCGGGTTTGAAACTTGGCTTCTTTTGTAGAGCTACTCGAATAGTGTGTAAGGTAATAATGAAATAGAGACGGTGAGGTAAGAGAAGGTAGATAAGTCAAGAGAAGTTAAGATAAGGTAAGGTAAGGTAAGGTAGAGAAGCAAAGAGAAGTTAAGACAAGGTAAGGTAAGGTAGTATAGAGAAGTTAAGATAAGATAGGCTACCTTTTTGTAGTAACGTATGGTATGACATGCTAATAGAAGATAGACTCACGTAAGTAACGGGAGGAAAGGGAAGGTGTGGAAATAGCAAGTTTCTCCAATAATCGAGTTTATTCTGGGAGTTGCACAGTATCTATACTTCAGCGTGCCGTGTGCAGTACTCGATATTAAGGGTACCCCTCCCCTCTTTTTGGGCTTTCCGTAGAAATGCTGTGAAATAAAAACTAAAAGTCGCTAGGGCTTCGTATTTTCAGAACTGATTTTTTCTGAATTTTTTTCAGACCTTCCCTGGTCGAGTTATAGGAAAAATACTGAAAAATGTCTCAAAAACCAAGTTTTTCAGTTTTAGAAACCCTATAACTCGGTAAAGAAATGTCTAACATAAAATTCCAAAAAAATAGCTCTGCAATAGTGTCTTGAGCACCTCTGGTAAAATTTTGAACTCGATCAAATGAAATTTAAGGGGGGTCGTAATGTGGCACAATGAAGCCTGGCAGCAAAAAAATAGTTTTCGAGAAAAAACGCATTTTGTACACAGGTCACTTTTTTCAGAGTATTTGCCGCGATGCTTATATCTCCGCGAAAACTCATCGGAAAATTCTGTAAAACGTCTCATTGTGAAGAAAACACTTTCTTCTATCAGACCATGTGTAAGAAAAATTTTGCATGTACAGAAAATGAGAGAAAAGTTTATGAAACTAAAAAGTTGAGTTTTTTTAGATTTTCAAGGAAAAACTTCAAAAATCCATAACTTTTTGAGAAAAGGTCGGGGAGTACTGGGAGTGGTCTTATTTTGTAGCCCACACTTTCCTCTATATTAGGCTATGCTCAGCTCAAAATCCGAAATTTTTATAAAAAAGAGGGGGAGGGTACCCTTAAGATGCAAAGGATTATCTTACCTTATAGTGCTTTATCTTAACTCCTCTACACTAGCTTACATTACCTTACGTGAACTTACCTTACTATATCTTACCTTATCTTAACTCCTCTACAGTACCTTCCCGTCCTTAACTTCTCCTAACCTCTCTACCCCACCTTAACTTCTGCACACTAGGTTGCATCACCTTACCTTACTTTTTCTTAACTTATGTTAACTTCTCTAGCTTAACTTGTCTTACCATAGGTTATCTTACCTTACTTTTACTTGTGTTGTCATATTCTACCATACCTTACTCAACGATAGCGTTTATGCCGTCACTTCCAGTTAAAGTGGCTTTTTTCTGACTTCTTGGAGAAGGAGTATTTTCTCCACTTTCTCGTTGTGACGCGTTCGCAATAACTTTTCCAGGGAGTGGCTATGAGCTTTTACATACTTTTAGTAGCTCTACGGAATGCATATAGTCAAACCTTCCCGGCTTCCAGTCGTGTATAAAGTGGGCATACCTGTCCGGAATTATCCTATAACCAGGTATCCCGATCTTGGCGATCGAACGATATCACGTTTCTGTCAAACGATATTCTACAGACAGTAATGTGTGCTGAAGACGAGAGAATGGTAGTGATGTTCTAATGCTTCTTTACACATACCCATTGAAATGGTATGTATTCAATATGGAACAATTTTATTGCTTCCTTCTAATACTTACAAAATAAAGTAACACAACAAATAAATAAGGCACATAAAAAAAAAGCACAAAACAAACAAGAACAACAACTTATTTTGTATCACAAAGTAATGCTACCCCTCTCAATGTCCATATATCAGCAGGAACCTTATCTCCCGGTGGACACTCGAGTTTCAATGTGCAAACATAATTTCGATCTGTTCGTCTTGGTTTCTTATAGACTGGTGCATAGTATACTGGTCGTCGATCTTTTTGTGCTCCTTCAGCATCGGCACTGATATGTATAATTGGCATGGGATGTGTGAGCATTTTTTCATTTACTTTCAATTCATCTAACGCACCATTTTTTATTTTAGCACCTTCGATGTAGAGTCCATAAACATAAACTCCTTGAGATGGTGGATCTTTGACTTGATCTTTATCGAATTTTTTCACGGTATTAGTTAGAACAACATTATCCAATGACCAACTAGCATTCGCTCGAGTTATTTCCTAACAAACGGATTTTATATTTATTATAGTGTATATATATGGAGAGAGAGCTTAATTGACTCTACGTACCTGTCTCATTGCTGTTAGGAATCCTTGTGGATTAAAGAATCCTGTCATCCAGTATGTCAGTGGTCTCTGTTCTTTATCTAACTTCAACCACGAACGGTATTGGTCATTACGTTGATACAAATCAGAAAACCAGGCACCTAACGTTGACGACTCCCATGATAGTTTTAACCACACCCGTGGTATTTTAGCATCATACATTCGATCAAGAGCATCTCTCAGGTCTTCATTCATTACAATGGTACCATCAATAGCTAATTTGAGATCTGTAAGAGTCCATTTAACAGCGTTAAGTACGCGCTGAAAACGATCAATTTCCTGACGTAGAAAGATGTTCATCGGTTCTAATTTTGAAAGACGTTCTTTAACTTCATGTGCAATGTAATCAGGTGGTAATTTTTCAAGAGTTTCACTAGCTAAACGATAGATGACAGCTTCACGTGTTTCACCAGCTCCACCACGAGCCTCTTTCGGTTGAATGCTCAAAATTGTATCGAGCACTTTACGAGTTGTATCCTCTTGGTATCTAAATCACGGAAAATAATAGTAAATTCTGAACGGAATAAAAAGAATTAACTCACCTTGCGTCAGCTAATGGACTAAGTCCAAATACTTTTCCCGAATCATAAGCTGGTAATTCGTTAATATAATCAAAAACATCTTGCATTGTAGCCATTTTTGGTATACGATATTTTGGATCTTCAAAATGAAAATTAGATTCGAACATTTCATCTCGAAACCAACATTTGACATAAGTCTTCAGTAAACGTTTGTCAAAATCGTCTGTCACACGACCTAAAGTGGAAAATTACAACGTTTAAGGAGAAAATGAGTATAAAGTAGTTAAGTTATTCATAAAAAAAACTATTAACGGAAACAAAGCTCGGCAAGTCAGACAATTTCCAGGTCTGGAGTCTCCAAAAAAATTAACAACTTCAAGTTAACTTCGGTCAAGTAGAAAAACAGCCATTTCAATCAGATGTGCTAGTAATTTTTGACCTTAAATATATACTCAAAAACAGTTCAATATAGAACGAAGTCAATTTAATAGAAAAAATGCTGTATGTTTTCTTTGTAAGTAACTAATACTCGAAAATATTTCAAGTCAAGTTTCACTCAACTTGTCTGTTTAGAGCATAAACTTACCGCCATATTGCACTTCTGAGATCATATAATGAATTGTTTTCCACTGCAGTTGCTGAAAAAGTAGACAAATACCCTTATAAATATCAATCATGATCACAAAAAATATGATGCTAACTTACTTTTCCTACTTCAATTTCATCTAGATGATTTTGTATAAACTGTACAGTGGCATTAAAGTCGGATGTGTTAAATTCGTATGGAATATTCCAGCCTAATGGACCAAATTTTCGTCTCTCTTGCACAATTGTATGGAGGAATGCTACAGCATACAGTAGTGGTCGCCATTTCTCATGTGAATTAGATTCTAATTGTTGTTCTTGAGTTAAACCAGCAAATGTTCTTTTTAAACCAGGTTTGACACCCTGAGGAGGTTCAGCTGTGTATTTAATTGAAATCTAGATTAAAAAATAGAGAGCATCTTTTAGACCAGATAATGAATTTAAAGGACATACCTGTAATAATCCAATGGGAAATTTCGGATGTAATTCTGTAGTTATCCATAGACGGAAATCGGGGTGTATTCGGTCACTGTTATTGGTTAGTTGTAATAAAAATTCTTCACAGAAATCCAAAGACAAATGACAATTTTGTAGCAACACCCAAGAACCGTTCGTATACGCTTGAGACAGTAAACGTCGAGCATGCACCTCTTGCCCTTGACCTTGAACAAAACCGAAATAACAATATAAATGAAAATTTAACTGCTCAAAATTCGTTAGTCTTCGTTTTACTTAAAGAAGTATCCATTTCACATAAGAAGACATCTCACTGTTATTCCAATAAAAATTTGAAAGAAACATGATATAAATATTTACTTTTCTCTAATTTTAATTCTTCAAGTAGCAGTCAGCCTCTCAGCTTTACACCGGGTTTTCTGGAAACCTCACGAATGCTCTTCTCGAATTTCCTTTAACCCTCAAAACAACTGAACCATTGGTTATTGATCATACTAAGTCTTCAAGCAATGTTTGGTTTTTCCAAAAAACATCAGAAACTCTCGTGTGAAAACCTAAGCTACGTGAAATGGATTTTCGATTGTTTTCACATAAAAACAAAATTGATAAAAACATTAAAATGTAGTCTATGTCATCTGGACTATAGTCTGCAATGGAATGAAAGTCTGACAAGTCAATAGGAAGTACTGGGATTGTTAAGAGGATTTTATAGAGATCTTCGGACTATAAGAGTACTCTTTTTTCACTAATCTGAAGTACAGATCAAATTGAGCAGATAAAATAGAGCATTCTTTCACGAAAGAAGACAACGAAACTAGTTGTATCCCGACACGGTCTTCTAAAGATCCTCGCAATAATCGTTTTCTTCTATAAGCAGATATCCCGATCTTGGCCATTGAACAACATCACGTTTCTTTCAAACGGTATTCTACAGACAGTGATGCGTGTTTTAATTTGAGAGAATGGTGGTGATGTTCTAATGCTGCTTTATACATACCCATTGAGATGGCATGCCAATCGATCATTTTCTTTTTTGCTAATGTTTCTATTTGGACTGTTGGATCCGAACCCATTGACAGAAAACAAATCAATGGTGAAGATTTTTCTGATTCATCCCACATTCTTTCCATATCCAACACAACACCTTAAACAGGTATAGAAGAATTAAATCGAAAAGTCAAACGTCTTCTCCAGCAGCTACCTTCGACATATTTAGATCCTAATGAATCTTCAATGTATCTATTTGCTTGTGGTATAAATCGTGATGGAGTGAGAGATCGAACAAGTAATAAACGACGAAAGGGATCTAGTGTTTGATAACCATCAGGTAACTCAGCTTTTTCCGGTTCGTCTTTCTACAATATGCATAACGCACTTAGTACTAGCATTTAATAAGTTTTATTAATTTTGAGCGCAGAAATATTATCATTAACAAATTTGATAGTTTTTAGCTGATGAGAGAGTAGGAGCAGATAGCAGTTTACAAACTTTATTAGTAAATCCCTCAGTAGATTGTTCGATCATTTGCTGTAACACAAAATAATAGTTTTTGATTTTAACTCAGACAAGTTATTTAAAAAAATATATAATTACTTTAAACCATGTTTCCCATCCTATACCATTGCGAGTGATCTAAAATATATCAACAGATAAAATAGATGCTGCTGTCTGGCTCATTGGTTCAAAATCTATTTAAACCACGTGTGTTATATTTACTTACAGCATCTAGAATCCCAGAGAATTGATATAATTTTGATAATTCAACTAAATTCAACCATGATTCACTTTGTAACCATTTGTAGTTTGAGGGTTTTTGCGGAACTACAAGCATCAAATATTCTATATGAACTCTTTTTTTTTTTAAGATAAATGTTGATTATTTTATACCAGCTTGTACGTCTAATGATGCTCCTCCTTTGACAAGAGTTTGAAATTCATCAAATTTAATTTTTCCTGACTGTTGATCAATTTTAAGTGCAAGCAAAAGCGTAAACATAAATTTGTGCTCTTCATAATAACCACGCACGGCATATTTATAAATTTCATACGTTAAAAATTCCAAGATGTTTGTTATACGTTTTGCTGTCACAGGATTCTAAATGTGAGCACAATATAAGCTTATACACAATTTAAACTCAAAAGATAAGAATTTCTCTAGTCTTACTTTCGGTGATCGTTCAAGTGCTTGATTAAATAATTGTAAAAATTGTTTCAAGGATGTTTGATACATAACATTAACCATTGACATTTCGACAATAAGAAAATAGACAATTGATCCACGAGTAGCTACTGGACGATATTCTTCTCGTGCCACATTAATTTTTTGGCTTGTTTCAGTAGCTATTGCCAGCTTTTGTTTAACATCGGATGATGTAGATTTTGTTGTTTTTAACGTTTTTATTAGATCATCATCGTCGACTAATGAGCCCTATAAAAATAAATTTCAAATAATTAATCCACTGGCTAGGTAAATGTTTTTTTAGTCAACTAATAATTAAAAATTATTTATCTTACTTTGGAATTTGTTAATCTCAATAATAAATTGTCTTCTAATTCTTTCATTCGTTTATTATTTGCTTGAATATCTTCTAACATCTTGACACGTTCTGTTTCTAAATCTGACTTCTCTTTCAAAATTGTTAAACCCAATAACTGATCTTCTAAACCTTTGATAGTTACAGTAAAATCAATTACCGATGTTTTTGCAGATATTTCTGAAAGTAAAACAAGAATAGTTATACCAACAATTGATGCTGTTTAATCGATACTGACCAGGTGTAAATGCTGGATTGGCCAATTTTGTTGTTATATACAAATTAAATCCTTTCAAGACATCTACTTCTTTATCGCCTACTTTCACCTTTAATGTTGAACCGGATCGAATGAAATTTTTTTCTAGAACATTGTCTAAAGCTGGATCCAATTCTTCACCAACATCTTCAATCAATAATGGTCGACCCAATGATAAACAATCTTCCAAATGTTGACGAAAATGTTTTGATTGCAAATTAGTTGACTAGAATAAATAAAAAATATATTTAATAATAATAAGTATTGTCGAATATTAATAGACTGCTGAGAAAGTCAGACAGTAGTAGACATAAATTTTTTGGTGGCTCGACAATCGAGTGGAAATTTTCTCATACAGACGAACATGCAAATGAGTTTTCCATTCATTTTTCCAGAAAAAAAGACACCAGAAGACGTCTAAACGTATTCTTTTCCTGAGTTGAATGAAAGACGGGTGTGGAGGATTCTCGATTTTAAGATGCGTCAAAAAGCGTTCTTAGAAGCGTCTTATATGATCTCACCGATAGTTGAGTCTAGACTAGTCTTCGAGACCAGAAAATCCCTAGAATGCATCTTGATACACTCGTTTAATACTGTTTGATAGACAAAAGATGACTATATTTGCATTTAGACGCGCTTTAAATTTTATTCAGTATATTTAAATGATGAAAATTTAAATCTCTTGGCAAACTCCTAGAAGATTCTGGAACTTCATAGTCTACAGATAATAAACTTTTGGTGATCCCTCAGGATTACCAGTTTCTACTGTTAATAGTTATTATGCACGGATCTCTCTATCTTTCCCGACTAATTAAGGGTATTAGGATTGATGGTGGATACAAAAACGTGTCTAGATGCATTCAAAAAGAAAAGTTTTCATTTTTCTGTCAAGACGCATTTATCATACCCGAGATCGGACGTGTGTGAAAGAATTTTGTGAAAATAATCAAAAAGATAATCAAAACCTTTCCTTAGTGAGACACGATTGTAGCCCGCAAATTTCTGATTAAAACGAGACATCTCAGCTCTACACGACCTTTCTTTGCAAAGTTATCCAATTTACACAAAAAATTTGAGCTGAGAATGAACATTTAGGGGCTTTCTGTGTAAATTGTATAACTTTGCAAAGAAAGGTCGCGTAGAGCTGGCAGATGTCTCGCTTTAATCAGAAATTTGTGGGCTACAATCATGTCTCACTAAGGAAAGATTTTGATTATTTTTCAGAATTTCTGAAAAACTGGTTTTCCAGAAAACTGGATCTTCAGGAGTCATTGGCACGAACCCTTTTAGGCTTTTTACTATCCTGATACCCTCTATCGATCGACGTATGAACGATTGAAAAAGGGGTGTTACAGCAGAATAATGTTCCTCGTAAGTTAAGAAGACTACCTTTTGGAAAAATAATCTATTTAAATCTTAAAATCCAATAAATTAGAAAAAGATAGTGATAATACTCACTTGCAGATCATTTGCAATTTCTTTATTACGAATCCATGCTTTTCCTTGCCCTTGCGGATCAATCAACAGTGGATACCGCTTAGCTCTTGTTACAATAATCGCATTTTGTATCGATAATTCATCGTTTGGTAATCCTTGTAATTTCCATTCACCCACCTGAATAAAGTAGCAGACAAATTAGTGTACATGTATCAAACAGAACTATATAATATAATAACTTACAACTGTAACATCTGTCAAGTATTCTGAGACATTGAGACCTCTCGTAAACGGAATATTTTGTTCATTCAACAACTTTTGCCATTCTTTTGCAAGTAATAAACGAAAATCTTGATTAAATGGACCTTGATATGAAAGGAAACCAGTGCACAATAATACATCGCCAACAAGTCTAGGAAAAACACAACATTTAAGATTCATGTAAAACAGCAGGTAAAAAGGAGCAACTTACTTTACAATTTGTGCTTTAAATTGTTTACTCTGATCGGTCCATCTTTTTTGTTCATCTTCTAAGCCTAATATTAATTCTGTTGCAGCATTCATTCGTCTCAACGTTCGATCCAAATCATCTTGCAAACGTTGTTTGATTGCCATCGCTGAATCGTATTCGGCTTGTGCCGCAGCCACTTCCGCTTCGCGTTTATCTAGCTCACCTTGAGCCATCTGTAACTGATTATTTGCCTTGACTAAACGGGCTTCTTGTATCGCCAAATTGGCTTTCAATGGCATAACACGTTTATTGACATAAAAGAAATCGGCCATAGCACGTGTCCACGTCAAAAGACCGGCAATTGATCCAGCTGCTATATTAGCACCGTCTTTCGTATAATCTGGCGCACGAAAATATGTTTGAAGTAGTTCAATTTGTTCATCATTAATACGATCTCGAGGAAACGTTTGTAATTGGGCTAAAAAGGATGTATCAGACATAAACTAAAATAAAAGATAAACGATGAATGAGATAATATAAATGCATATAAATTTTCTCACCCTCAGTGAACTTTCCCAGGATGGTTCTAGACTCTCTGTTTCTTTATCAAATCTTATTGGATTTGTTAATGGTCGTACAAAAAGAATCAATACACAATCCATAATACGACGAATTAAGTTCGGTGGTTTGCCTAATCGACGAACAACAGCTATATCACCTGGTGTGATCGTTTTTAAAGCTTCTTCAGCTTCCTAAAGGACAATAAGATAGTTAGACGGAAGAAAATAGAAAACTGTTTTTAAGAAACTCATCATACCAATAGTGCTGGTCTAGCATTTTCCAGTTCAGCATTTGCTTGCAACTTATCACGATTTATTTCATCGACAAGCGCTTGTGCAACATCTTTAACACGCTGAACTTTTTTTTTAACAATTTCAGCTTCATTTTTTGTAACAGCAACTTCTTTCAATACCTGAGAGTAGAAGTCTAATAGAATATTATTCTTATAGATATGCACGAAAGCAACAAACCTCATCTGCTTTTTTATTTGCAACGTCCAATTCTTTTTCTTTGACAGTTAACTCTTCTTTCATCGAATGAACAGCTTTTTCAGCTTCGGCTAATTTTGTTAAACCTATAGATAGTTAAGTTAGGTATAGATAATTAATATAAGTGATAAAAACAAAAGCATTATACCTTCATTCATTCTCTTGGCCATTGATTCAATTTCTTGTAATTTTTGTTCATATATTTCTTTGTAACCATTAATAAATGATAAATACGATTTTGGTGTTACATGTGTGGCCCGACGATATTTTTGAAAATATTGAAGACAATATTCAGCTACACCATCATGTACAGCACCCATACATTGAACTAAGTCTTTCTTGTTGGCATCTGAACACACAATATAGAATGAAGAGAGAAAATGATCAGCAACAGCAACTAAAGCATCTTTGGGCCACCGTTGAAACCAATCTATGGTACATCCAGATATTAATCCGGGAAATTGTAGACCTAAACATTGTAATTCCATATTCAATATACATTAATTACAAATAATCTATGACAGACCTCTTTTTCTAAATTTTTCTCCAACAGGTGAAAAACATAGGACAACATGTAAATTTTGTCGAACACGTGTAAGAAAATAATCGTATAAATTTTCATTTGTTGGTGCACGTCTTGGATATTGTTTTTTCATTATCGGTATTAATTCTTGACATATTTCATCTATTTCATCACGTGCAAACATACCAGGAACCTTGAATGAAGATAAATTATTAAATAATATTAAAGTTTATAACAAGAAAAAATACGTACAACTCCTGATGACAGAACATTGTTGATATATTCCAAAAATGATTCATCTTTAATATCTTGATCAGAAAATATAAATGTAATACCTTTGCCTGCTTTGCCAGCAGTACGATATAATGTTTTCAAATCTTCAAGTAAATTATTCGTATTGTAAGCTCTAGAAAAAAAATGAACGAATTCCCTTCTTTTTTTTTCAATCGTTTATTTATGTTATTTCTGCTCACCTTGTTAATGTAATTTGAAATGTTTTGTATCCGGCAATAAATGATGCCAACTTTGTCAGTGATTGTTTTCCTGAGCCGCCCACACCCACTAATAAAGCATTTCCTCTCGGTGTTCGAATAATTCTCGATATTTTAATTAAATGTGTCATGGCATCTTTGAAAAATACCAAATCCATTCCAGAACCACGAATACTTTCATTATATTGACTTATATACATTTTTAAACGTTCTTCTAATTGTTCAAATGAAGCAATCTAAAATTCAATGAAAAACATCATTTGAACATTTCTAGTAACGTAAATTATTATTAACATACAGGTTCGTAGATTTTTGGTGCTTCGAAATCAGCATCTTCGGGTTCATCACCAGTTGGTTCAGGTACATCTCTATAAATGCAAAAATAAATATTATTTCTTCTTATTATTACTTAATATTTTGATTTATTAGTATTTTCAAATATTATTTTTTGAGAAAGCTAAGAATGATAAAAATAAAATGTGCATCATTTCAATTAGTTTAAACCACTTCAAAGTGAACGAGTGAGTATTTTAACTATCACAACAACAATAAAGTCTATTGTAACGTACCAAAATGTTAAAAATGAGTGTGAGTCGTGCTCATGGGAATGTTGATGTCAGATAAATTCCTATTCCTGTTACTTTTTAGTAAAAAGAAAAATGAGACAGAGGTCCTAAAGAGATTACTTTTTGTCGAGTAAATACAATTTATTTTTCTTGTTTTTATTTGTTGGAATCTTTAGAAATAGTTGATATTCTTCTTTTTAAAAGAAGTTACATGTAAAGAAAAAAAGAGTCAAAAAATAAAGCTTAGATAATGTAGCTCATAGAGCTAGAATAATTATAAGCTTTTTTTTCTTTACTACCTTAGAAAATCGACAAACATATCATTTGGTTTAACCCATGGCAAATATTTTTCACCTAATTCTTCTCCAACGACACGATCAATTGTTTTAAAATACCAACGGTAATCGTCTTGTCCGGTAAATCTAAGCATGTGAAGTGAAGTATACAGCAAAAATAGTTCTCAATCATATATATTGTGATATTTTTTAACTTCTTGCTAATAACGTGAATAATTATGTGAAAAATCGATAGATACATGCAAACAGTGATTTGTTTATTAAAATTCATGCTTGCTAGTATCTACAATCGATCAAAATAGTGCGTTTAGTGTTTAGAAAAATACTTCTGTGATCATTTTCTTTTTTTAGTGTTCAACAACAATCAAGTAAATTGACGATGAAATGTATAGAAACAACCTGAGAAAATCGACAAAATATGCTAAGGATGTCGTGTATTCTCCATAGTGGACATTTAATTCTTCTTCAGCTACACGTTTAAACGTTTTTTTAAACCATGTTATATCCTCTTCTGTTACAAATCTATGTATAGAAAACAGTAGTAGAAATTAAAATATCAAGATCATTTTTTCTGTAACAGTATTTTGATAGGATCTTTCTTAACGGTATTTTATGGATATTGAATCAAGAAAATCATTATTGATGTTACTTACCTATCACAGATGACTCTTGTACATTCATGTTTCCATAACTGAATCAGAATTTTTTCTTTATTAATTACTTGTGGTATTGTATTAATCATTCCTTGCCATATTCTCGATAAATCACGTAAATTAAATACATAATGAAATTTAGCCGGTGTGGGTAACATTTTCACCTTTGTTAATTGCCATAGACGTCTTGTAGCTGGTACAAGACGTTCGACTAAATTCCGTACTTCATCTGTAAAACCACGTTCTTTACAATAATGACCCAAGCCAATGACACTAAATATTTTATCAATTGACGTATTCGATGGTAATGTACAATTAAAGATAGCAAATTGACGTTTTAAACGTTGCGGAATATCATTTCGACCACCTCCCGGATGAATCATTGCAGCTAAAAACTAAAACATGACCGTACTACTATTTGTCTCGTACTAACAAGGAAACCTTTTGAGGTGATCAAATGCTTTTTTAATTAAAGCTACTTTTTTCTTAGAAAACGTTAAATGTTAGAAAATCCAAATATTTTACTGTAGTTCAGATTAATATTTTTTTAATTCGATTATAACTTGTTCGATAATTCTAAGAATTTTTCCACATAGGCAACTCGATAAGCTCTACAAACGGGCTAGATTAGAATCTCTTGATTTTTAGATTCAGCGTAGGTCTCTAAAGATCAGACTTTTAAAGATCCACTCAAAAGCCCAATAAGGAGGCAAATTGACATCAGATTCGTGATCAGGATCAAGAATTAACGTAGAAAAAATAATTAGGAAAACTTTTGATTGCATAGAAAGGTATCCTCGAAACTATTAAATAATACGTACTTGCATATCAACGATGCTAATAAATTCTCCTGGTTTTTCTAATGAATAAAATCCACCCTGTTCAATAAGTTGACGAACAATTTCATTTGTTATTTGATCGCCCCATTCGTTTATTGTCGGCATATTAATATCATCGATAAAGAGGGTCATCTTCTTGCCAGCCGGAGGACCGTAGGTTGAACCAACACGTTTATCAACATAACTTTCAATTATACGCTAAAGTAACAAAGATAAAGTAAAATATGGAATATAGTAGGTATATAATTCATACTTGAACCATATTTGGTGTGGTAGCTGATGAGAAATTAACAGTTTTTGCAGCATGTTCTTCGGCATTATATTTATCCATATAACTCTGGATTATCACCGTTTTAGCTGTACCTTGTTCACCAATTAATAGCACAGGCTAATAATAAAAATTTTCATTAGGAGGTGAAACTGCAGGCTTCCTGTGATTTTTATGAGCGATTACCTTATTTTGTTTCGCGATTGTATGTATTAAAAAGTCTGTTCTGACATTATCCACATTTGGCACCAAAATTGATGAATATTCGGGATCATGATCTTTTGGATATACATACTCCGTTACAACCGTGTTCCAATGAGTCCATTGACCTAAGTATATTCATCGGACATTATGTGTATTTGTATTATTATCAATATCTTGGCTCACCTTTGTCATTGACAAAATAATCGAATATTGATTCTTCGGTATTTAATTGTACAGCCGGCGTATCCAATCGAAGTCCATCATGATTTGTTAATATATATTCTTGTAAATGACCACGATCATCTAATTCTAAAAATGCGCCTACACTCCACATGATGGCAAAGACGTATAAACGTTCAATATGCAATTGATTTAATTGTTCTTTAGCATCTTTAGCAGGCAATAAACCATTCAATAGTTTGCATGCCTAGAAATATTGTGCGAAATTACAAAACTAGTAGAATACTAACAAGCTTATCGACTTACTTGTGTGACAATCATACATTCAAGTACAGGCATTTTTGATTTGAGATATAAAGCAAAATATCGATATAATAGAGGAAATGATGATTCAAATAAACGCATGAGTATGTCACCATCATGAATTGAACGATCACGTTTTATCCAGCCCTAAAATGAAATATTAAAGATACTAAACGAATTGACAAAAATAGAGATGAATCATGTATCTTACTTGTATTAATGGTTTCCAATCTAATCCAGAACTACTCATGTAGACCATACCATTTCTAGATACCGTTGCTGGTGATGCATTATCAATATTATGTACTTCAAATATTATTTTACAATTAGAAGCCATTGATATTCGATCACCATTTGCTAATGTCAATGACTTATTATCATCCAATACAGAGTTCAAATTTTCAATCCATATGGCATCTACAGGACCATCGAGTACCAACCAGATAAATTCACCTTTTTTTGTACGCAATGTACGTCGCCATAGTGTGGAGAAAATTCCATCTGTCCAATCATTTGTAGCTGCATCTAATCGGCCAAACATTTGCGGTGCAGTAATGGCTTTTGGATTCATACGCATTTCACGATGTGGTTCACCACAAATGGTCATTGCTTTCATCAATGTGTGAATACAACAAGTTTTGCCGACACCTGTAGGACCCAATGTCATCATTCCATGACGGACACGTTGTGTTTCGTATAACTAAATAAATACAAGAAACAGTTATATATCAGAAAGGAAAAGAAACCGCTTAGATATGATGAATCAGCATCGTTCATTGTGTCCTTAGAAGACACGTATTACTGTAGTCTAAGAAAAAAAGATGATAACATTAGTTTACTTGTATAATTTTTAATATCCATGGTGGATGACTAATGAGACCGGCTGCTTGTGCTTCTTTATTAATAGCTGATTCCAGATCAGCATACTTTTCTTTTTCAAGTCTGATATTTGGAAATAAATCATTGATTAACGAAATAAATAGTGGTTCATCTTCATCCACCTAAATACATACAATATCATGATTTTCTTGTGATTATATAATATACAGTTCAATGACTAATACACTAAGACTTTGGGGGAAAATTGTTTATCATCACGAGGTAGAACGCGATGTCAGACAGAAATTTCACGTCCCAGCGAATCCTTCACAAATGAACTACGTACCAATTAAATTAACTCAATGTACATAGAAAGGACTCTGACAAGACTTGTGAGTAGTATAGGTACTTATAATTGGTTAAACTATTTAACCCTGTTAAATAGTTGGATACACACACTCATTATACGCTTTTCCTTTATTATTCTGCGTTTATCAATCTTACATACCAGTTTTGATAGATTCATATCTCGCAATACTCTCATGACAATTGTTTTTTCTTGATCACTTTTGTTTGCTCGTTTAACAGCACCCAATGTTCTCAGCACTGACAAAATATTTCTCAAACCAAAATCATAATGAACCTAAATTATATGGTATTTATATACAATTTGTAGAACATAAATTAGATGAACTATTTACTTGTTTACTCAATTGTTCTTCGCATAGTTTATACAATGTATAAAATTTTTTTGATAATGGCACATTCTCGCGAAAACCACATGCAGCCATTTTTACACGAATAATTGGTAGACGATCGGGAACCATCATAGCAACAGAACGAAAATTGATTTTTAGATTTTCCGGTAATTCTTGACGACCAGCATAACCAGGATTCTACAAAAAGATATCGTAAAATTAGCTTCAACAAAGAGTATGATTTATTTAATAAATGAAATACCATAGTCAAGAATATTCCAAATTCCATATTCATTTCGACCATATCACCATCAGTAAATGTAAACTGTCGTTTTTTTTCTTTCTTACATGCTAAAATAATGGCGATTTGTTGGGCGGCCACCGATAGTACGGGCAAATCGATTCGATTAAATTCATCGAAACATCCGAATGATCCTGATTGAGCAAGTCCCTTAAATATTCGACCAAGACCACGAAAATCCATTTGATCCGAACAATTAAATACGACAACATATTTTCCTAAGCAACGACCCATATCTTTCACCGTTTCAGTTTTACCTAAAAGAAGATGAAGAATGAACCATGGTCCATCGCCACAGGTAGTACTATCATATCATATAAAGTTTTTTCAACCATGTACGATGGATGATTTTAGTTCGTAATGAGGACATCAACATTTCTGGATACAAATCTTTTTTCGCAGATTATCATCGTTCTACCGTTATATAACTGTTTACTAAAAAATTATTTTTTTGAAAAATATTATCACGGTGTCGGACGATTTGTGCTAATGTTCACCTTTTTTAAAATTTCTTAACATGGAAGTTTAGCGATCCCTCGGTGATATTAAGTCCTAACAGAAATTTTTTTTATTAATCTGTAGCTGGGCAGGCCACTATTTATTCTTAAGATCTTTTACAAATTAAGGATTTTGTGAAGGTAACAGGAAAAGAACAAATTCTACATTCACTATAACTTGACTTCTAGTAAAAGTTTTCTCGCTATTCTGAAAGAGTTAACAAATTTTTTTTCACACGAAAAGACATTGAATTTTATATCCGAGTAATAGAAAGCTGAAAAGAATGATTCTCATCTCTTGACTAAATATTTGTATTGTTTCTCGCTCTACCTACCTCTTCGAGGCATGGCGCGGGTCCGAGTCCAGACTGAAAGATTGTTTTGAAGGACTCGGACTCAAGTTTTTGTATCCAGGGCTCAGTAAATTAAAAAAGAGAAATAAACCATCCTCATCGAAAAAGATTACCGGACTCGGACTCGTCTAAGCCTGACCTCTTCTAAAAAACGGCATTTTTTTGTCCGTTGTCTTGATTTTCGATCTTCGAAGGAGATCTTGGTATACGGATACTTTTTTTCAGTAAGTCTTAAAGTAAATAATCTTTCTAACACGTAGATTTATACAAGAAGCTCTTCTCGTCAAAATAAGATGTTCTGAAACTCTGTGTCCTTGTGCTAAAGAGTTAAACATCTTTTCCCACAAGCTTCTGTTGTATCAAATAACGTTTTCTCTCAAAATCGCTGTTTTTATGATTTCTCGATATTTTCTGTTCAGAAAGATAATGGAAAGTTTGATTAGTAATTAAAGTGAAGCGGATACTTACTTACGGATACATCGTCAAAGAGAATTTTTGACCGATGATATCTGATACAAATGAATAGAACGAATAATTCACGTTCTATCTGTTGTAGACATAAGTATTAAAACCCATTCAAACTCTCTAATATCTTTCTGAACGGAGAGGTTTTTCAGAAAATTTTGGATAATTGCATGATGAAATTCTGAGAATATCTCATATTTCTTACCAGTTCCTGCTGGTCCCGCTGGTGCCCCGCCCATTGACATGTGAAGAGCTTGTGCTAACGTTATATAACATCGATCAGTCAATGGTGTAATGACCAAACGTTCGGTGCATCCCAAAAATTCATTTTGATATGTGAAATCAACATCTGTGATCGATATTTGAACTTTATCCAATTCTTCATTGAAATAAAATCTTGTTTGTTTCAACCAGTCAAAATCAGATATTGAACGAATACTTCCCGCGACTAATTCATCAAATATATCTTTTTGATGTACATGAATGGTAATGAGTGTCTCATATTTTGTGCGTTCAACTTTTGACAGATCTCTGGTTGTTTGATCAATGAGTAAATCCAAAAGATCACCAAATAATTTTGATGTTTGTCTCATTAGATTTTTATCCGATTTGGCGTTTTTCAAGGCATTAGTAGCATCACGAGTCCAAATCAATTGTATACCTGAAAAAGAATTTTATTCGTCAAAGAAATCATACAGATAAACTAATAAATGTACAACTTACCTAGCAGGCCAACTTGTGCTGGATATGTATTCAAAAATTCGATCAGATTAAATGAACCCGAATCCGATAGGGCATTGTAAGCTTGTCGAATGACACCATGTAACGATTTTTGAGATTCTTTTAATAGCGACATAAGCCATACTTCAACATTGCCCTCAGCTTTTACCGGTTTTTCTAACTAAAATAATTTAATAATAACTCATTTATCTTTACAACTGTTCATAGCTATTTACTTACTTCAATTGTTTCTCCTTCTGATGATTCAATTGACAATATTTTATCATATTCTTTATCGTGAAATCGTACTGTCTTTATATTATCGAAAACAGACAATAAATGAGCTTTAATTGTATGTGGATCACTTGCTTGCCCAAGAATTTCGAGTAATGCTGGATCTGATACAAAGAAAAATCTTGGAAATAATAAACGTTTTCGTTCTAAATAACCGGTCAATGATTTTTGACATAATTCTAATTGTTCAAGAAGATGAGGTAATAGTTGTTTAAGTGCTTCATCTGCTGTACAACATTGAACGACAGCCGGTTGTTCATGAGCTTTTGACATAATTTTTAGCCATGATTTATCGATGGATGAAAAACGTTTAGCTTCTTGAGGTAACTGTTTAGCAATATCACCACCAACAAAAACAGCTTCTAAATAAACCCATAAATTTTGTACACGCATCCAATTTTCAATAATTTCATTGGTATCTGTCAAATCTTTAACCCATCTTTGAATATGTTTACGAAAAGGAACGTTATATCTGAAAAAAATACAAAAATCAATTAGAGAAATAATGAAAAATACATCTTCAAATACTCAAGGCCGTAAATTGCGGATGGGGGGAGGGAGACGGGGGTGTACACTCCCTCAAAAAGAAAAATTTGTCTTATCCTAATTAAAATTTTTTTTCTTACACCTCCCCCAACGTTGACTTCCTGTTTACGGCCCTGCAAATACTTACCGGTTACTCATTAGCGATCCTAATAACATGAGCGAATCTTCTAATAATCCAATTACTTCTAGTATTCTATCACCTTTCAATAGTAATTCTCCTCTTGTTTTAAATTGTGCAAAATTAAATTCTTGTGATTTCCAATCACTTTCAACTTGTTTTAATTTTGCTTCAATATCTCGTTCTTTAACTGCAGCAATACAAATATCTTCAATATCTTCTTTAAACTGAAGCAATGGTAAATCCATAACATGTCGTAGACGAAAATCATCGGCTTCGACATCTAAATGGTGTACTCCTGTTACATCAGCAATGCGTTGCCAATGACGATGTTGCATCGCTTTATTTGACATCATTTCTAATAATGGACAACCTAGAAGTCACAATATTTTCCAGTAGACAATAAACATCTTAGACATCAAAATAATGTACAACTTACATTCGCTAAACTCGTCAATGGTTTTTTTGAGTGCATGAAATGCTGGAAAGTCTCTCAGTCCTTTTGGTAATCTTTGACAAGATGTTTGAAAATCGAATAATTCTTGATTAATTTTATCAATATCCACGTCTGTCCACGGTATATCATAGTAACTGGCTACTGTATCCAACACTTTATTGTACAATGTATATAATCGTTGTAAAAGTGCTAAATCTTTCTTAATTTTTTCTAATTGTGGATATTCATTTACTCTTAAACCAAATAATTCTTCACCGCCATGATATGTTTCATAACGTTTGTACAAATTTTCTACTCGACTTTGAAAGAGAATTTGTCGATCGGATGATTCACGTGGTGTGATACCACTAATCGTTGGCCCACTCTTTTCATATTCCGCATAAAATTTGTTACAGTCTTTAACAAATTTGACAACATTTTCTAAAAGTTCTTTTTTAAATTGTGGTTGAAGTTTTAATAGATTTGTAGTCATCTGTGAACAAAGTTGTTGTAGTTTTTGCCATGAATAGCGTAAATTATCACATCGTTCAGTTTCTTCTCTTGCTACATTGAGTTCATGTGCTTGTAACATTGCATACGATTCTTCAATAGGTCCAACTGACATATCAATTCGAATTTCATTTTCTCGTAATTCTTTAACAGTTAACATAATTAATCGAATATCTTCGAGATCTTTAACTGGTCGTTGTAAACGTTTTTCCATATCTTCGATAAACTGGATGACATCATTCATTTCTTTACGATATTTGAAATTACACGCCTGACCATAACGAATTATCCAATCACGAGTCTCAGTTATCAAACCAAATTTTAAATGTACTAAAACAGCAGACATGATGATATGTGCAAAGAATGTAATATTATGTACCTGTAAATATGGCCAATGGACCAACTGATATACATTCTGCTAGTGAATTAATTTCTGATGATAATTGTTCATAATCTTTAATTTTTGTTTCAAATTCACCCACATGAGGTTGACGAGATAAAAAATCTTTTAATTCTTCATCACGATCTTTTTGCCATAAAGCACTATAATGTGTGAATGGTTCAAGTGCCACAGTGATATCCTACAGTATAAATACTTTTCTAATAAATTGTTTCTTAGACTTTGTTTCTTATTTACATACTTTTTTCGTTGCATTAACACATGTTGCTAGCAATGCTACTAATTTTGCTATCTCTTTGTTTTCTGACACATTTTTGTAATAGCTGTTAGCTGGTGCAACTGCAAGCTGTCGATCTTGTGGATCATTTAATCGTACTTTGCTTCCTAGTTCACCATGTTGTCCTCCTTGATTTTGTGTTGCCAATGAATTAGATCCTGGTCCGTCTTTGAATACACCTAATACACTCTGTCTTCCTCCTCCGAAAGCTAAATCATCATCCTCGAGCACATCTGCATTTGTTAAACTCATCTGACGAGCCATTGTACGTGGTTCTATTTCAACAAAACCATTTTGTGTTTCATCAAATGTTTCTAATCGGTTACGTTTTGACTAGAAAAGAAAACTGAGATAGTTTCATCATAGAAATATTAGATATAGGCAAAAAGCTAATATCGTACAACAAACAAAGAATCATGCAATAACAACGAATAATGCTTAAACGACGGTAAAATTTTTATGCTAGGGATATGGTTTTTTAATACAGTAGAGGAAGAAATTGCACTTCTGGTTGGATTTTTTTAAGAAAAGCAACTAACACAAACGATTTCCTACTACAATACTATCTTTGTAATTCGATTAATAATTTAATTTAATTTAAATTTTACAAGATAATAAATTTAATTAAAGTTATTATCTTGTAAATTTTACAAAAAATACACATTACATACACATAACTCTCGTTTTGTGGAAGAACTGATACATGCTCATATGACACGCTTCTTTCGAGAGTAGAATGGTAACAACAAAAGCTGAGAGTTAATTCACACTTTCAGAAGAATTTCATACATTTATTAGATACATTAGAAGATTATCTATCTTATGTGTTTAGTTTTACAAAACTCATTTTGTTACAAAGCGTCAATATTGATCAACACTTTCAGAATATGAGTAGAAAGATATAGTGGCTAAAAATAATGCACTATATTTCTATACTATATTTCTAATTACTTACTTGATATTACAAACAACACTTAACTTTCTCATTTCAAGATTAAACTAGTCACAATACCTGAGTTTGAGTTGGATCACTTTCACATTTTTATTAGGTCCTATGTCACAAAGACTTTCTAAAGTATCTTACTTTGGAATACTGCTTAGCAGTATAAAAATACTGTCTACTTACTTTAGTTCTGTCTTTACTCCATTGTGATATATTTTTTGCTACAGATAATATTGTTTGTACAGCTTTGTTTAGATATAATTGTACTTCATCTGTGGGTGGTTGGACAACAATATTTGGAATCGCTAATTCAGCGAAAACTTTAAATACAGGTGCTTCATGATTATTACGACCTAGAAGTACTGTAATGTTTGAAAAACTGACATAAAAGACGAGACATCAAGAGAATGAGTTGAATATAATGAAATAATATTCAAGTGGAGTTTCGAAAATGAAAGTCAGATCAGGATCCGGATTCGAAAATAGTTTTCTTTGCCGGTCAAGGTCTGGAATGAAACAAAATACAGAGGCAATGTGGAGTCACTAGAAAACTATTAGTTAAACTGATATGTACGATATGTAGTATTGGGATCCAAAAGCGAAACCGAGTCTTGAAGATGTAATCTACGCGCGTAGACGGATTCGGACGAAAAAAAACTATATTCACACGACTGTGTTTTCAATTAACCGGCATGAACATCTTGACTATGTTCAGTTAAACTTTCGTACAACGTTTGCAGACAGAAAATCTTGAGATCGAAATGAATGAAAAAGATCACTAGTTAGATGATTTTTTTATATACCATAGGTTAGTGTTGATGTAATTCTTTTTCTCAGTTTTTCTAATGTTAATTTAATTACTTTCACAATTGCATCTAAATTTTTATGGCTAAAATAATTGATTAATTCTTTAATAGCTGTTTGTAATTGTTCACTAGATTCATATTTCCGTCTACCACCACTTTTAATTTCACTTTGTTGAATTCCTGATTTTAATCGTCCATTCAGTTTTGCTGAAGGCTCACGTTTATAACTATTTGTCGTGCTAGCCGTATTCAGAAGACTAGTCTTACTTTTCCCCGTATGTGCACGACTATTAACAATTGATATATCATCTGAATTAGAAATAACACTTGAATAATCGTCGTAATCAGTGAAATAGTATGTCAACTTACCATCTGTTGTTTCTTCGTCATCATTGCCTCCATTTGTATATCCTCCTAGTTCCTCATCAGTACCGGTACTACATAATAAATCAATTACTTCCAAAACAGCTTCTTCAACATTACGAGAGCTCGTTTGCATCAACTGAGCACAACGACCACATAATTCCTTAAAAAAATAGACTTAATAGAACAACAAAATATACATGATTGAATTATTTTACTTGTGTATTTTTCAAAAATTGTTCTGGTAATATCGGTTCATCTTCGGGTAATTCACAAAGTGACATAGATGCAATTTTATCAAGTACAGCATCAATTCGATAAGTTACTAAATCATTTGATCGTTCTAACAGTAAATCAAATTCTGATAATGCATCATCAAACTAAAATTATTTATAATTCTTATTCGACATATATAATAAGTAAAAGATCAATCTACGCACCGTTTTGACATAATCGTCTATGGTTAACGATGCCCAAGTCAATGTTGTTAGACCTGGTTTTATAATATCGTTTAATTTACGAAGTTTTGGTAGTAATAGAGGTTCAAATACTGGCTTTATCTTTTCTCGTAGTGTTTTGTTCTTCTCTAATAATCTTGTTAAATCTTGATAATGCTTTTTTAATATTTCTTCACGTTGTGCTAGAACAGCAGCCTCTTTCGGTATCTCTAATCCTAATCGTGCTAAACATTGTGTTTCTCGAATTAATTCTAAAATATTTGGATCAAAATTGATCATATAATCGGGTGATTTTCCCGATGAGGATAATGTTGATGATGTAATGAGTGACTGTGTAGTCGATGTAAATGAGATAGCTGAACCACTGCTGAAATCATTATCATGTCGAACAAGAACGAGTAAAGAAGAATTAATACCAGTTGATATAACGCTGACTTGTCTTAACCATCCACGATGATATAACATTTCATAGGAGAGTAATACTTTTGATAATTGATTATAATTTTTGATAATTTTTTTAGCATCTGGATATTGAAGAATAGTTTTGTTAGCCACAAAAATATTCATTGGTTTTTGAACACGAAGATACAGTTGACGAGCCCATATAATACGACCTTAAAAGACACACAAACATTCATCAATCGATATACAACAAATATTCTTCTTACCAGCTATCGGCGGTAAATCTCGTGATATCAATGGTTCTTTACTACTTTTCTGATATATTTTTGCTACAGTATCCAAATCTTTTGAATAATAATTAAGAATTTTCGAATATTTTTCATTCAAACCGATATTTGGTAATTGTAATTTTTCAAAACGTTTTAACGCAGTTAATGAACGTTCTGTATTTCTAATGGCATTAAAAATTTTATCTAAAAAATAATGTCTAAAGAGTGTGAGAATGTGAAATTGTCTAAATGAAAAATATTTTCTTACCTAGAAATTCATTAATTCCATTATGTAAATCTTGTATTGATCGTTTAAATTCATCATAGTCCAAATCAAAATCTTGTTTTCGTTGGTCCAAATAATCATAGTCTTTTTTTTTCATACTTAGAACAATAATATTGAATTTTGAATAAAATGCACTACTTCCTACCAAAGAAATAGTCTTATAAAATTTAAATAAACAAATTAATTATTTCATTTTACCTTCAATTTTTGAATCTTGTAAATGTTGATACATATTTATTGTTGAAAACATATCAATTATTTTTTCACATCGTCGTTGAAATGAATCAAATTTTCCAAATATATACATTTCACTAAAATCAAATGGACGATCATTTGGTGTTTGAGCTAATTTTGTTTTTGTTAATTGAAAATTTCGTTGATATTCATCATTAAGTTTAATACAATCACGTAATTTTGAGATAAGAACAGATTGATCTTGTGACCAAATTGTTTCCGTATAATTATTGGTCACATAATTTTTACACGTAGTTATCATCTGATTTGTTATCTAAATAAAATAATATTTATTTTAATAATATAGATAATTTCTTACTTTTAATTAGATAAAAAGAAAATCATACTTTGACAAATAATGATGTCATTCTCTCCGATGTATTATAATATCTTGATATAGAATGTATCATTCTCACAGCATTAATAAGTCCTGGTATTGAATCTAACATTCCCACAGGATCTGAATTGTACAATGGTTCACAAAATTTTTCCAATGTATATAAATATCGAACATTATCTTTTGCTTCATTAGCAGCATCTGTTATTTTACCATCTAATAATTTCCATTGTTGTATGAGTTTTGATTTTGCTGTTTGTAAAATTGTAAGCACAGCCTTGACATCTGTTCCTTTAATTTGATCGAGTAAAAAATTAAATTTTGTCATACGTTTTTTCCAATATTCTAATTCTGCTCGTGGACCAATATTATCTGCTTCACGACGAATTTGTTCACTTTCAGCTAATACCTAGAAAAAAAAAAGAAAAAAAAAGAAGAGTTGATATATTTACACAAACATAGAATAATTATCTGTTTACTTGTTGCATTTGTTTGATCCATATTTTCATTGTATCTTCAATCGACTGTAATGCTTCATTATTTGAGGCTACTGACACATAATCAGCTGCGTTTTGTAATTGACTAATATCAATTTTATCACATGGTTTTAATAAAACACGTTCATTTATACTTTCTTGGGCACCTAAAAAATGTATAGCATTCTCTTCATCTAAGATATCTAATCGTTACACAAATTGCTTACTATAGAGATTTGAGACAAAATTGGATAGTTTGGATAAAAAATCTACTTTAACTAATTGATTTTCATTGCCTAATTTACCCCATGTGGTATCACTAACTTGTAAATAAGGTAAATATATTTCACTTATTGTACGACCCAATGCTTGTAACAAAGGTTGATCTGCATTGCATTCGAATGTGTAAAAAAATACTTCCTAAAACGAGAAATGAATTAAATATTTGACTATAGTTGATTCTATATCCTTATGTTTGTGAGTAAATCATAACATTTTTCATTATAAATTGAATCTCACTTTTATATATCATGACCCACTCATTTGAATTTTTTAACAATAACGTATTAAGTGAACGTTTCGTCGCTCTCATGGTTCTGCTGGAAGAACTGAATGTCCCCTCAGATATTTCACGTATGTAAAAGCTCAGAATCAAAATGCATGCCGTTCACTTGCAAAAAGACTAAGTCTCATCGTGTGACAGCTTATCAGAGAGAAACGATTTTAAAACAACAAAACAAATGGAACAGATAAAATTGGTTGCTTGTGTTCTCTGTTTCTTAGACACGCAAATTTAGTTTGAATGCACCATTCTAATAGTGAAACGGATCCAAGGCTAGACTCAAATCTATAGGAACAATGTCTATTGACATTGTTCCTATAGATTTGACTACAAAGACAACTATTAACATTGTCGCCCTATAGGGCCGCAAATATCGGGAGGGTGCGCATCCTCCGAATAAATGAAAATGTTGTTGTTATTTTATCAATTATTCCTCGCACAAAATTTTTTTTATCAATTTTACACTATCTCAGAGAGAAAGTTTGTTTTTGTTGTTGGCGCCAGAAATTTAAAGTTTGAATAAGATTTTTTTCCGTTTATTTATACATTGTTGGATAGAGATCGTCGAGCTGAGTAAGAACACTGGTTTTGTTTCGTCACTAAGAAAATTCATTTTTTTCTAAATCACAGGTGAAAAAGTCAGAATTCTGCTCGGACTTCTCAATTCTTTCCATCAGAGCTCACCTTTTATGCAATAGAAATATCATATTCGGAGCCCGTGTTACAAACTGAGTCGAATGATATCTATTTCGAAATTTTTCGTTGATATTCGTTTTTGTTAAAAATTTCAGTAATTTAAATTTAATTAACTTTAATTTTTTTAACCCATTGCCCGCTGACGACATCATTGAATAGAACAAATTGGGCTACTGATATATCAGTGGACAGCGTGCAATGTGTTAACTTGAAAATTCAAAAAAATTAAGGTGATGAAAGCATAAAACAAGTAGATCATTCGACTTAGCTTTGTTGACTCCGAATACGATATTTCTATTGCATAAAAAATGAGCTCTGATGGAAAGAATTGAGAAGTCCGGGCAGAATTCTGACTTTTTCACCTTTGATTTAGAAAAAATGAATTTTCTTAGTGACGAAACAAAAAACCAGTTTTCTTACTCAGCTCGACGATCTCTATCCAACAATGTATAAATAAACGGAAAAAAATCTTATTCAAACTTTAAGTTTCTGGCACCTTATGTATGCATAAATTTTATTCATCCAAACGTGTTACCATAATAAAAAATTCGGAAAATTACCAGAATATAATTTCACAAGATTTTCACTCGAAATTTCCAGCATCTTGTTGAAACGTTTACAAAGTAAATCTGAAACATGTAATAATCTTGTTATATAATGTCTGGAGATGAACAGTTATGAATTCAGTTCTGACATTTATGATTATACATTCAAGTGTACGCTTTCTAATGTTATTAAAAAAAACTTCTAAACATCTTCATAGTAAAGAACGAAATGTTAAAAATATGTCGTTTTTCGCTTTGTTTTAGTCATCTTCACTGCTGAATAAAGTCTACTACTATAGATTGTCACCTCAAAGACGCATCGGTTATCTTAGTTTTTGCTCGTTTTTACTAGTACAGTTAAATTGTCATGAAATAGTTGAAAGTAATAATTCAGTTTTCTACAGCAGTAGATTTTATTGTCTGTCTCTATTCGCAAATAAATAAAAAGGAAAACTGATATAATAAATGATGCACTTTTTTGTCGTTTTAAGGTGCTAGAAACTTAAAGTTCGAGTGAGATTTTTTTCCGTTTATTTATACATGGTTGGATAGAGATCGTCGAGCCGAGTAAGAAAACTGATTTTCAATTTTTTAAAAATTCTTTTAAGGAAAGAAAAAATTTGACCGATCTAAAATTTCGAAAAACCGTTTGATTTCAAAAAAATTCATATTCATTTCTTTCTCGTTCTTCTAACTTTTTAAAAATATTTTTTTCAGATTTAGCATTAAAAACTAAGTATACGAATGATGCTTGATCGAGGTTGAAGTCAAATGTCTATCCAGCATGGATGTTTTGAACTCTCCGTGTAAAGAGTTCATAAACGGATTTGCAAATCTATCTAGGTTTTTTGTGAAGAGATATATTATCTCTAACTCCACGAAACACGACATATTTTTAACATATCGTTCTTGACTGTGAAGATGTTTGGAAACTTTTTTAATAACATATTGAAAAGCGTACACTTGAATGTATATACTAATTCTCAACTTTATTTATTAACATCGATAGAGACAATAAAACTCTTAAAACAATGTCAATAATAATTTTCATTTTACAATTTTTGAAGTACTATAAACGAGAATGTTATTCAGCTATTCGTTCTGATAAACTATCACTACGGTTACACTACGCAAATAATCACGATTATAAGAAGATTATCTTTAATCGTGAAAACTAGTAGTGTAACCGCTACTTTACTCACGATTATTTTAAAAATCATGAGTAAAAATAATCATGTTTGGAAGATGATTATCTTTAATCGCGATTAAATTTAATCGTGAGTAACTTTAACCGCGTTTAAAAGGACCGGCGTTTGCATTTTGCTCAACTGCAATAGCTAATCAGCTGAACGTTGTTTTGCCTACTGAAGAATTTTTCTGGCATTACTATACTCTTTTACAAATTAATAAATAATTAAGTAATAATAATTTTATAACAATAATATTTTTAAGAAAAAATTTTCTATTAAAAATGACTAAGCAGAGTTAAGAGAATAAAACGAAGGTGAAAAGATCGTGGTGGTCTGAGGAAGAAACAAACTTGCTGCTAAATTTGTTAAAAGATGAAAAGATATCGAATGAAATGGCTAGTCATCGGAATCATGACGCCTGGAAAAAATCACAAGAAGATTTATTAGCAGCAGGTGTTAACAAATCTATTGATCAGATTAAAAAGTATTATTGTATTCATTTTAACTTTTGCCAACACAAAACTGATTCTCTTCTGCGCACTGAGTATTTATAGTTATGACGATTAAATCGTGATTAGTGCGGTTACACACAATTCTGTTCATCGTGATTAAATATCGTTGATCGTGATCCAAAAAAATTGCGGTTACACTAGAAAATGTTTAATCGCAATTATCTTTTAATCACGATTAAAGATCATCGTGATTCTGGGTAGTGTAACCGTAGTGTATGTCAAAAAAATGGTGCACTTGAAAATTGGATGTTCATTGGAACATCTAGGATTAAAAATCTAGAGAATTCAACAAAAGCCAGACTTTTTTCACCGTAGTAGATGGAAATTCTCATGTACATTTTTCCTCTCTTGATTTTATCGATACAGAATATCCTAAGAGTTGATACTTCGAATCTATAGAAACGATGATAAATACGTACAGTATGGATATTTGCTATTGTAATTGGTGTTTTTTTGGAATTTCTTATGAAACATAGGCAAACACCTCTTAAACTGTGTTCAGCTAAGTCGGCTATGATCACTTTTGGTTTTGTATGCCTTGACAATTTCACAGAACGAGGTAAAAATGGTGAGAGTGATGGACGATAAGAATCATCTAAACGAAACAGAAAAGTAAAAAATAGAAAAATAGAAAAATTAGTTTTCTTTACTTGTATTAGAATGATCCGATTGATAAAAAAATACCAAATATTGATTTCCGCCATCTATAAAAAACAGGTCCATAAGACTGAACTAGAAATTTAAAAAAACTTTGTTAAAAAGAAACATTTGAGTTGATGTTTACTTACATTGGGACTATCGAGTATACTGTCTTCCACCTCATGTCGTTCAATTCCTAATCGCGTGGCTAATATATCAAATAAATGATGATGGCGTTCATCTAAGTGGGATCGCTTTCCTTCACGTTCTTCACGAGCACGAGCCTAAAAATGGAGAAAATCTAATCCGTCAGATACATTAGACTATAAGAAAAAACAACTTTAGAAAAGAAAATCACATCTATTATCGAATCAATTTTTCAGTCTAAACTCTTTAAATCTAAATAAATCTAGTATATTTTGCTTTGTTTCTGTTTTAGATGTTAATATAGCACTATAAGGGTGCTCTTTCTTAGGTCACATACCGCATATTCAGTCACGGAAACAGTTGGTTGTGGTCTTGAAATCATTTTTCTATAATTGTATATGTTTTACAAGCCGATTTAAAGTATCATTGTAATAAATGATTATGCCGACAATAGATCTAGATTTAAGTTGATTTTTTTTCTGAGATTCATACTCTCAAGTTGATGTTTAAAAAAAAAGTGATCAAACATTTCTTTCTCTTCAAATTACAGTATACATCCACTTATTCTTATACTTTTTTTAACAATTCTGATAACAACATTCGCCGTCTTACTATTTCGTTTCGTTTTATATAAAACGCATTTCTTATATATACACTTGAAAGCTTTTTCGAGTGAGCTTTTTCGCAAGAGAAGAAAACAGAAAATGAGATGATTATTTGGGAAAACAAATAATAATTAGATATAAGTGTATAAAAAGTCTTAGTTTTTAATAGAACAGGGTAGAAAATAGGTAAGTAACACGGGATAAATCGCACAATCGATTTGTTCATATAATAGTTAGGCACGATGTTTTATAATCTGTGAAGTACAAACGAATAGTTTTAGTAAAATAATAGTGTAAAAAGTTTTCAATAATAATTGATTGAATACAGTCGAATACTTTCAGCCGTGTGAAAAAAAATCATTGACTGAATCTTATCTCGTACTGTTAACCAGTATAATTTTGTAGTGTTGATAAAACTGCTATAGCAACAAATACAATAATAATGAATTGCTGTGTAACTACAACAACTACTGAGAAGATAGAAAAAAGTTATTGATTTAAATGAGGTTATGATTTTCGTATGAAATCTTATGACTAAATCTTATTGCATGACCTTGTAAAATCTTGTCAGTAAGACTGCTGATTTATACCTATTTATTTTCTTATCATAAGATTTATACAAAATCTTACAAGATCTAGCCACAAGATAGATAAGAAATGATGACTCATCCTTACAATGTAAATTTCGCTATCATGTGTAGTATATATACATGTAACGGATGACTCATGGATAAGCACCTTCTTGGGTATCATCTTTTCGATAAATATTTGAAAATAAGCTCAATCAATAAAGAATTCAATTCTCTGCAAATCTACGTACTCGACATAATTTTGTGTTTAAAATCTGTTGTGATATGCAAACGCCTGAAATGCTTCGATTGTCATTATTCTATTTCTCGTACTGCTAATTTCTATTTTTGTAAAAATTTTTTAAATTTCTATTTGTACTACTAAAACATCATTACTTCCATGTACAAACAGTAGAGATGTGTAAAGAATTAAATTCAATAAAAATTGAAAACTTAAAAGTTAGTTTTTACTCATCTTTTACATATAACTGAAAACAATTGCATGAGCACAGGTTTTTTCATCTATAGTGCACAAAAAACATCAAATACTCGGAACTAACTTAGAGCACAAAATTCTCTCCCATTTAGCATAGAAATCGCTTTCTGACTCTCTCTCTCTTTGATTCTGGATACATCGATTGACTTATTTTCAAATATTTATCGAAAAGATACATCCATTAGATACACAGTTAAACCTAGTTCTTAAAACTTCATGTTATACATATAAGAGGTGAGCGATGGCCAACTTGTTGCTCTCATACAAGGATCGTCCCGTAAACTTTCCGTCAAAATACGAAAATTCTTGGAGGAACCTACCGTAGTATACTTGTAATACGCATGTCTTTTTGGTTTCATTCTTTTCTTTATTTAAGTGAAGTGTCGAAGTCTCCAGGTCATTTATACTGGTCCGTTTATGTCCACTCAAAGAAACCGTTAATGGTACAAAAACAGCACAGGGATGGTTCGCTAACATCCCCATAAACTCTCATCTTTAAGAACGTCAATTAACGGTCTAAAAATGGATTGTTTACTACAGTGACTGAATGGAGTCCGTATTGTATACCGTAAACGGATCGTTTTTAGACCGTTTTCTGTCGATGAAAAAAATGGTCCGTTAACAATTCCATTTTTTGGTCGTTTTGTTGATAAGTTATTCACCTCTTTTATTTTGGTATCACTAGTAGTATTTATATACCGCTGATTTTCTTCGAATAACTTAGAATTTGTCCCTTTCTCCTGTATACAAGTCAACGAAAATTGATTAGAGGAAGTGATTTTCTCTAGATCTGATACTAAAAAATAGTACGTTGGTCTTAAGATTGGTGCTAGAAATGATACCAAAGATCAAAAAGCCAAAATAATAAAAAAGATAGCAAAAGCAGTATTTCTGAGTAAAGAAGTCAAAAATAAAAATTCTTTGTAAAACATTCATATAAAACGGTAAAAAAACAGTCTGAAGAAAAGAGTGCAGACAGGCCGTTTTTTTACCATAAAGCGATTAACGATACCGTTTTCATACACCCGAGAAGTGGCGCATGGTTGTGCAGTCAAATACAACCCGAAGAACTGAAAAAAATGTGTAGTTTAGCACACATTTTTCAACACACGACATGGATTGAACAGATCACATTCGAGCCCAGCGGATTGCGTACAAGCGTGTTGACTTCAAATTAGAGATGCGCAACACGACCCGATCCGAAGGTTGGGTACTAGTAGAGCAGTTACGGGTACGGGTTCCGTTTATTTTTTATTTATGCGAAAATCGGAAGGCTTTAGTGAAAAACCACAAAAGTTTAGTGGAAAAATACAAGGTTTTTAGCTAAAATACTTGAACTTTTAATAATACTTGAAGTTTTAAAACATAGTTACTTGAGAACGTAATGATAACTTATCATCTCCAGCCGAAAAACAAAAGTTTTTAACTGGAAAACGAAAAGGAGAGAATGTTTAGGCATAAGTCGGGTACGGGTACAGGTGGGAAAAAAATGTTCGGATGTGTACGGGTACGAAAACGATATCTGTACATACATCTGTACTTCAAATACGTTAACATACAACACAATCACGATTACGCACACACTAATTGGTACCGTCGTGTGAACCTCTGTCTAAGTGTGTGATAATAAAGAAAAAATAATTCATTCGCATGGAACACGAACTAGACCATTCAGAGTGAAATTTTATCCCATCATTGGTAGTTTTTACTAAATAAGGCATGAAGTGTGTTTTTCGACGCTTAAGAAACACGATATATCCATTAAACATTCAAGAGCCTTCTCAGGCTAGCTATGGTTATTAAATTTTGCTTTAAGCGTATTAATGATGACTCATTGCTAATCTAAACATGCATGAAAGGAAGTATTTTTTTTCATTGGTGATGCATATTAGTACAGAGAAATGTCGAAGATCTAAGCACACTGCTACTCTCTGCCCAATTCGAAATTAGTTAGTTTGTTTTAGTTTTTGATTGTGTTACATAGAGATGTTAGTCGACTTGAGCGTGAACGGCGTAATCAGAGAAAAACTTGATCGTAGGCGACAATCTTACATAAGTACGTCGATTTTAAAGTCGGAGACGCGATTAACGTTTTCATAGATTTCTTCAGAATAAGAAAAAACATTCGGAATCCGCTTTAGCAATTTATACGTTTTTATTATAGATGTAATAGATATACTTTTCGGAGTTACAACAACGAAGGCGAAAATACGCCATAACTATAAATTTTAAGGCTTCTAGGAAATTTCTATGGCTTTATAATATGAAGTGAAACAAAGTTGTGTCGCATCCTTTAAAGACAAGAATCTCCTCTACAAATCTACATATCTAATTTGATTTTGTAACTTCTGGAAATGGCTTTAAAAATATTCAAAGGGTACTATAGAAAATGATATAGATTCTGAAAGTATGAATACTTTAGGCTGCACGTAGATTCGCTTAACTCAAAAACAACTTTATTTCTAAAAATAGACTTTCTATAGAGTAGAAAGATATATTCATATACTCTTGTCTTCTTTTAAAGTTGTTGTAACGCGATATTATTAAAGAAAATAGTTTCATCAATTATTTGTAATTTGAGACGCTTTTACGAATGCTTTCATCACAGCTGTTTTTCTTTTTCTGTGAAAATTCTATAATTGCATGCACCGATCCACCACAGGAAATTGACACATACTTTTCGAGTTCATTTGGGCTACATCTCAAAAGAGATACTTTTTTTTGCAAATTCACACTCAGTTTTGTATGTCCCCTCTGATGTTGTTTGATATTGCAAAGTCAATTGAGACAGCTTTGTATCTCTTTTGAGAAGTTATTATTTACTTTCTAGATAATGAATAATTATTTTTTGACAATAATTGCTGTCACCAGAAAACAAGAATTTCACCAGAATATCTACAAGAACGTCGACCAGTGAATAATGATATAAGAGCGTCTTTTTCTGTTCGATTTGTTTTCATTTCAAAGAAAACAAACGAAAAAAGTTTACCTCCCCTCTCTTCGCTGTTTCGTTCATCAGTTGACACCGTGACAACCATAATGATTCGACACAGAGAATTACAGAACAATGTTTTGTTTGAATTTAAAAGATTATATGTCTATGAAGCGAAAAAGCTGTTGAATCGATCAGTCAACGAAAAGAAGAAAAAAAATATCAGAACAGCAACGCCAAGGTTTTTTTCTTTTCATATAATATGTTTAAATCAAGAAGAAATATTTCTATTCTGATTATAACTTATAATCGGTAAGTTCAACACAGTTCACAATGTCCTATATAGTACTAATTCAACTTCTTTTACCGGTTATCATCGACAATTATAATAAACGAGATCTCAATAAAAGAATCTATTATACTTTTCATACTAAGAAGCTGAATCGGTATAACATCTCAATTACTCGTACTCTAAAAAAATCCGTTGCATCTTTTGGGGAATAAAACCAATTATCACCTCATTTTACAGACATTATGGCTTTAGAAAGAACATTGCTTCTTATGGAAAAACTAATGAAATTTACTGATTTTTTCGAACGAGTAAGGTCGTTAATGGTCAGTACCGAGTAACAGTTTGTCCTAATATCATCAGTTGAAGCCAAAAATAAGACAGATAAAAAAATCCGTTTTGAAGTAAGACCCACTTGTCAGTCTTGTTTCAATACAAATTTATTTTGTAGAGGGCTTTGAAAGAAAACTTTCATTTGTTACCTGTATGTCGTTGATACTTTCTTGGCTGATTGTTGTAAATCTAGGTTTATTTCTGGAATCTTTTGCTCTTGAATCACTAAGTGAGGCAGGTTTCATTGTAAAGTAGAGGTATATCTGTAAAGCAACATATTACGTACCACAAGCAGATCAAGGACAGTCAGCTCAGTAGTGACTGTATGTAGAGAGGTGTACACGCTGATTTAGGAAAAATTCACTTTTAATGCCTCTTCTCCTTTTGTTCGACCTATTTTCAAAATTTAGTAGTTTATCCGCACTATTAAGATACAACGCATTGGGCTTTCTTCTAAATTCTCTATGAGAAAGGACATCCTTCAACGCTTTCCCTCATAAATTCTACCACCTTTCTGCTTTTTGTCTGGCCGTGATGCTAAGCGTAGAGCAAGATAATTAACAGTTAGAAGAAAAATTAGATTTTGTCTTTGCGAGAATGAGATATAATGGTATGTCTATTATATACAATAGTTATTCAGTACATGTATGACTCTAGTTCCATGTATCATTCGTAACTAGGGATGTCGCGTGCGAGGGTTGTAGAGGAGGTCATCCCTAGTAACCTTAATAGTTTTGCTTTGTATTCGTTAGACACGATATGAAACATTCTTCGTCACCTCTCCCGCAATCTTCGGTTGCCTCGCGACATCCTTTTTCGTAACTTAGTTAAACTTTAACTATTACATTCACAAGGCTTTTGTCTACTCAGAAATGTAAGAAAGCTTAAAACTACAATAGAGGAAGCTTGTAAATGATCGAATCAAACATATCACCGGATCGAAAAATTTTAAAAGCTTGTTCGGTCAAAACCGATTACAAATTCGTCTTCTCCATGGTTGATTATGTGGTACGCGATAACTTCTGGATCGGGGTACTTTAGAAAAAATTTTCAACATCGTTTTGCCTTTGGTCCCATACGGTAACATTTTGAAAAATTTTTGAGCAAGACCATGGGAAAATTTTTTTCTAAAGTACCCCGATCCAAAAGTTATTGCGTATCACATAATCAACCATGGAGAAGACGAATCTGCAATCGGTTTCGACCGAACAAGCTTTTGAAATTTTTCGATTCGGTGATATGATCGGTACGTTGTTTTCTCATTCGAATAACAGATGTACAAACATCGTACATACTTGTAGCACCGACTTCAATAGAATTCCACTGTCGCGTTCTTACAGTAGAGGGGAAAAGAGAGAGATATCCCTTATTTAATATGCTAGCGTAATTATGAAAGGAATATTCCTAAGATGAGACTCCAGCTCTGGATGGAGAAAAATAATTCTTTAGCAGGTATTTTCTCACATGTTTCTTCGAAGGACTAACAGAAAACGTACCTTAGTTTACATCTCGTGCGTTTTCCAGAAGAGACGGTGTTACATGAATCAAAACGTATAGTCGGGTACCAAAAACATGCGAAGTGATCTCCCTCACAAAATCTGTTATTTCGATGCATTGTCTTCAACTCATTAAGGTTTATCATTCGTTTTTTTTATTACTTTCGTTTTATTGTTTAGAAAAACGTGGATGGAAAGATAACAATGTTTATCATCCATTAAATAGGTTTCTACTATAGAAACGCTTGTTGTAATCAGAATATCAAGATAAAAGTCTTATTTTATTCTAAAGTAATAGTAAAATAAGAATAAAAATCCTGTTCGTTAAAAAACTAACTCAAAAAACCGTGAATAATGTCTGAATAGAGGGCGTTAGTGAAAATATTGGCCTCCCTGCAGTCCGTTTTGAGCATCAGTTTTAAAAGACTTATGAGCCATCTCGTATAAGCGACGACGGACACTGCTCAAACATATGCCACAGAACTTGTTGAAACCGATCATAAAAAGAAATAAAGATATTTCTGAGTAAGACCCGTTTGAGAAAATATTGCTTGGTTGCTAGGAAACGAGCATTTTAAAATTTCGACCTACTTTTGAAAAATGCAACATCTCTCATACTGACAACTTTGTGTTGCTCATATCTCGCCAATCACACACGATAAAGAACTCAAAAATTTTTTGCATAAGTAGAACCAACATTCTTCTTCAATTTCAAACAAATCCGATCTCTGGGGACGGTCTCGTACTCATACAGTGATCTGTATCTGGTACGTCCTAAACTCATATTTTGTCCAATTTGGAGCCATACTGTATCGGACGAAACATTTTCATAAAATTTTGAAAACAACATTCGACAGAAGGCTTCAAATACTACATCTGAACGTGTGAGCTTCTAATTCGCTTTCGCTCAAATAAAAACTGCACCTAAAGTAACGACTTTAGCTGAAAATGTCATTTTTCAAAATCGTTTTTCTCCCTGCAGGTTTAGGTTATGAAATTTTTTATAGGTTAGATTGTAGGTTACGCCATTGATAACCTATTTTTAACCTAAACGAATAAAACCGATTTTGAACGACCGCATTAAAACAGCCAGCGTTTTGAGTAATAAAGCGTAGTCCGAGTAGAATTTTATCGATTGAGGATGAAGTTCAGACTGAAGTTCTCTAGTTTAAACTGAAAAATAGCACAATCAAAAAAGGAAGTACAGAGAAAAAACTTTCGTTTGCTAAAAATAGATGGTAAATACACAGCAGTAACAGAACCTTCGCAGCATCGAGAACCTAAAGTGAAATTCTTGTCCACTCTTAAGAGGATTTTCCTATTCAGAACGGTATTTTCTAAAGATTGCATTAAAGAATAAAAGACTCAACCGATTCATTTCTATATGTGATTTATTTTGTATGAGCTTACCTTTCAGACGGTGTTTAGATAAAAAACAATAACGATATGGAACACAGCTGAGGTTTAGGCTTCTGAAACCAGGTTTTGGGAAAAAATTACAAAAGATTGTATTAGGTTAACCTAGGTTAGGTTACCAAAAACATTAATAGGTTAGGTTAGGTTTAGGTTGTGAAAATTTTTATAGATTAAGTTATAGGTTGCCAAAAAGGCGTAACCTGCAGAGCTCTACATGGCATAAGACGAGTTTTGGAAATATTCGGGGCACTAGTAGCCCCAACCCGTTTCGTTACTAGATGAAGAAATTTCGGTGGGCAGTGTAACTGCTATGGATGGATGCAGATGATCGTGAGTGTGGCTAATTCAGAAAACGAAGAAAGTTTTGTTCATTTACTCTTGGTATGTTAGGCATTTTCCTTGAAGATTAATTTAGAGCCATTTTTTGACCTCTTTAGCAGTGCTGGATTATCCTACCCAGGTGAAACATCATTGACATTTAATAAGCCATGTAATGCGTTTTAAATGTAAGCCAAAAAACTAGCTTTTAACACATAAATAACTGTTAAAAAACTGACAGGTAACAATCAGTTTATTTGTCTGTTATGTGATTGTTGATAAAGGCTCCAGAAAAGGCATTTAACATATCACAACATGTTGAAAAAAAGGCAGTTAACAGTCACTGTTTACTATAAAATTTTTGGCTGTTATAATAGCAAAAGATCGGCATTTAACTGTGCATCCTAAAGTATAAAATAACTGTTACAGTTAAATGGCTATTGCCAGGTCATTCTTCCATTTTAAAATATACAACGAAAAAACTGGCATTTAAAATGGCTGCTTCATTCACCCTTTTATTTTGTACACATGAATGATATATGTATATATAGCACTGAAATTCTGAAGAAATTTGCAAATTTTTCTCTGTACGAGTCATCGAAATTTGTCTCGTGGAAGTCATCACTGGTTCTGGATCTGGTGCCATTGATGGCGCCGTGGACCTAAGGAATCAAAATTTTGGAAACCACTATGTTTGGGGTACATATCAAAAAAATTAATCAAAGAAAACGCTTGATAATTGACCGTTAACAGCCAGTAATGGTGTATTCTCAAACTTCTCTTGCGGTCAGAGTAATAGTCACCGATATGATAATGAACGCAGGAAACGGTCATTTATTAATGAGCGCATGTTTCTTATATTTTATGTTTGTTTGAAGAATGTATCACCGCATCCTTAGTGTATAATCGTATATTCTATTTATTTCAGACAACGTTTATGAAACCTATGATACGGTTAAACGCATGGATTTTCTTTTTATTATGTCTCGTTGAAAGATTTCAAGTTTTTTAATTAAAGATTCTTAAATAATTTTTGCGAGTTAGAAACTTTACGAATTCTCTAGGTTGAAAGCAACTATCCCTGCGCTATAACCGCAGGAGTAGAAAGGAAAGGATTGGAGCAATTTTTTCTCGATACTTTCAAGATATAAATTTTCTAAAATGTAAGCACGATAGAGGAAGTTCTATGTTAAACTGTACTTTGGTGATTTTGAATAAAAACTGAAAGCGTTCAATGCAAAACATCTAATTAAAGAATGTTACAAAAACATAATGCTCCCGGTCCACCAATATAGGGTCTACGAGCACCATAAGGTCGTCCATAATAATCATATGCTGATGTTGTCGTAGTGGCAGGTAACTCAATTCTAAGAATACGATCATCATTATTCATTTTAGCTCGAATTAGGTCATAGTTCATTGATGAAGGTAATTGATATGGACGAAAATATTCACGATTAATTCTATTACCATACGTATTGTCGACGTGAGTAGCCGATATCTTCAATAGGCCTTGTTGATTTACTCTAACTAAAACATTTTCTGGACGATAACCTTTTAAATCAAACGTTAACACACTGGGCGATGAAAGATTGCCATCTTGTTGTTGATAATATTGTATTGGAGTCTGACCACCACTATAATAATCTTGTTGTATGTAGCGTGGACTGACAACTATTTCTAAATTAAGATAGCCATCCGAATCGTACACATTTCTCACCAATCTAGTATCAACCGCAGTACCCAGATTAAATTCACGTACAAATTCAGAATGATAACTATCGCCATGTGGGCGTATTGCTTTTATTCTCAATGTACTATCATCTAGTTCAACGGAGATATCTTCGGGACGATAATCTTGCAAATTAAAACGATAATTGATTGTTTTCTTGCCGTTTCCATGATCGACTACTGAATAGGTATCATTCGATTGTTGTTGACGATGAGGATGTGTTTTTTTAGAATATATAACGGGTATGATTGTTGTACTCGACATAATGTGTTACTAGTCAAACTATAACATTCCGTCTGATATATATATGTACAAGAAAATGATAAACCCACAATATTATTAACTATACCAGATACTTTTCAATATAAGGCAAATAACATAAAAACTTGATGAAGAAAAGAAAGAAAAAATGCACACTGATGTACCTATGTACTCATCACTTGTCCTTCTCTTATGTTTTATTCTCCTTTCTTTTGTTATTTTGGCAAAAATAACATCATACTACTGTACAGATAACTTTTTTGTCCTTCATACCGCATTTTCTTTTCTTTTTTGTGATATAATTAATCTAAGACAGATTATAATACCGGAAAGAAAAAGATTTCATAATGTATGATACTGTGTCATTTACGTGTGATTACTATCAAAACTTTATATTAACAAAACAAAAAAGATATTTGGCTTCAGATAGAAAAGGTTATTAACAAATCAGAATTTTTCTGACTAAAAACTAACTGAATAATTTTAAAAACATGAACTATTTTTTCTTATACTGCCATAATCAATCCTGATGCAGAGATAGACGAATTACTTAAAGAATCATCAACCGTTTGCGTAAAACATTGAATAGATGCAATGTCCATCGCGTTTAAGAAACGCTTTTTGTCTCGCCCCCTTAATAACAATCAAAATTTCCCAACTGATCACAATGGGCAATCACGTGGACATTTGGAAAAATTTCGAAAGTGAGATTCAATACAGGCTCATATACTTTCAGACAGACATTTCTGAAACTAGACACCTTGGAATATGTTATTAGGTAGAAATTTTTGACTCATTGTAAACAAGATTCTGTTTTAATGTCATGTTTACCTTTTCTCTATTTCGTTCAGCATACGTCATTCCGTTCTCTCTCAAGGGCATAGTTTTCGTTTTTCTTTCTTTTTTTTCGTACATGTCATGAGCATAATTATTGTTTTCTGTATTTTTTGATAACTTATATATACCTGTATTCTTCTCGTTCTGTGTGTGCGAGTTTGTAATTAAAACTTCATGTTTATTGGAACACTACCTGTTAGGGTCAAGCTCCATAAGACAAGAGCGAACCGACAACCTGACAATGTTTTGATGTAAAATTTTCTTAGTTCAGCCCTATATATAGCGAGAAAAAAAACGTATCTTTCAGACTAATAATATTGCCTAACTACTATGATTCCTAAACTGTGAAATCCACCACATCCAAACGCTCTCAGACTTGGTCAAAATGTTCTGCAGGCTATGCTGAATCAATACAATTAACATAAATGTTTCCGAATCGCCAGCAGGTTTTCAAAAACGTATGGTCGTTCAGATGAAACCTGACTTCCCTCCCCCTCAGAAACTCTTTCAAGAAAAAATAAGGCCATATTCGGATTCAACATTTACAGTTATATCGAATATTGTGTAAGAAATCATATTTCGAAAGAAAAAATATTTTGATGAAAAATACGGGCAAGGGTCGCTCTCAACCGTTTTTAATGGAAAAAACATTTTTTTAATATCACATTTTGTGTTAAAAAATCATTCTCCTAATTTCATACTACTGTTTCCACGAAAAAAAACGTTTCTGACAGAAAAAGCTAGAGATGTGCACGAGTACCATTTTCATACCCGTACCCGACAACTTTGTATCTGTACCCTCCTGTACCCGACTTATGCCTAAACATTTTCTTCTTTTCGTTTTCCAGGTAAAAACTTTTGTTTTTCGGCTGAAAATGACAAATGATCATTACGTTCGCAACTAAGTGTGTTTTAAAACTTCATGTATTTTAGCTAAAATCTTGTATTTTTCCACTAAACTTTTGTGGTTTTTCACTAAAACTTTCCGATTTTCCGGTAAATAAAAAATAAATAGGAGCCGTACCTGTAACTGCTCTATCCATACCTGTACCCAATCTTCGGATCGGGTCGGGTCGGGTTGCACATCTCTAGAAAAAGCCTCTACGTGGTGGCATAGCAAAAGTGCTCATGCTGCTGCTCACGGTTATTATTCTTAAAAAGCGTGTGTTCGTTAAGAAAACTAATAAAATCATTGAGTCCATTATGATACCGAATGGGTAAAATTATATTTAAAATTATCGTTCTATACCATTCGATAAATCTTGGCAAGGCTCATCTGGAGATACGAGTTTCAATATGTCTCTACACTGTCAATTAGGTCTGTTTATTATAAAAATCAGAAAACTCTGGATTATTCAGTGCCGACTATCATACAATAAGCTAAATTATTTGCATATCGTATGAAGATATGGTAAGTTTTATAAGTTAAAATTTGTAGTGAAAATGTAATCTAAAGCACTTCGGACTTTCTCCCATATATAAAACTTTCTAGACAAAAATTCTCCTGAAACTCGTCGAATTCTTCGGTAGCTGCTCTATGATTCCATCTGCGTAATATATCAAAAGACAGAAATGATAGATTTATGCTATGTGCCTAGAAAAAGTTTAAAGGGCCAAGGATACATACAAAACTGACTTTAGATTGATGGGGGAAGAGCACTCAAAAACTGTACTCTTATGCATATATTTGAATAAGACAATCAGTTACGTTGATCATATCATTGCCATCAATCTGATTGCAAACATAAACAATGAATATATTCAGTATAACTACTTCAGTAAAAAGACACCTGCAGGTGGTACTTTGAACTTTCTTTTTTCCATATGTTTATTCCGTCAGCTTCTGGTTACACAATATCGAAAATCGCCAGCCTCTGTCTTTTCGTTCAAACGTTCCTCAAAAACACCCGCGACCATTCTATTTTGTTATGGATAGTAACTTTAAATCAACAATTAGTAATCAACAAGCCACTATTCTAGATTCACAAACGAACATCGTGAACCGAATTATGAGATTAAACTAGGCATGCACCTAGTAATTGACTAGGGATTTTATACTTTTTAAAAAATCTGGTGTTTCGTATATTGCTTCGTTAAAAATTTTCTGACTCTGCAAGAATGTACAGCAAACATTTTTCTATAAAATGAGAGGTCTCTAGTTAAAAACCCTAGCCGTTCCACATTTTCGCTCCGAAACAAAAAGCTTCCTGAAACAGAAGAAAAAAGGTTCTATCGACAATTTTTCAGAATATTGAAGGATTCATCATCGATACAACTCACAGATATACTCTGCCAACAACTAAAAAAGTTTTGAAAAAGCTTAAAAACTCAAAAATGTAACGAAATTGGATCAACAAACCACAAGGGAATTGTACTTTAACTGAAAAACTGTAGAATTCGTCATAGAGTTTTTCGATTTTTAATAAACTCAAAAGTTTTTTTCTGGTTTATAAAATCCTACAACAATTCTCTTAAATAAAAAGGTCTAGTAAAATACGGATAAGGTTTATTGACATTCGGTATTTTGAAAAAAACATTATAAGGTATTATATTTTTACTCCTTAAAACTCAAAAATGTAGAGATACTAACCAAGAATTTTTTTAAATTGGCTAAAAGGACTTTTTCGGTTTAAGAATATAACGAAAATCCTTTGAGACCTGAAAACAACGCTTTATATAAGCGTGTAAATACCATTTAGAACTTATTGTTCGTTATGTTGTCCATGATCCAAAGTTAGTTTTAAGAAAAAGCTTTACTAACATATAAGATGATCTTATAATTAATATATCAAGCGGAATACAGTGAAAATTTTATGGTCACAACGGACTATATTTAAGAACTATTTATCGAAAAATTGTTAGCCCCAAATCTTATGACTAGGTTACATGAAAATAACTATATTACAAGAAAATGCATGAAAAACTGCATCGAAATCTATGGCGTGAGACTAGATTTATGGATCCACTAGACAAAAGTGTATATTTCACACTTCAGAAGTGTATATTTCACACTTCAAAAGTGTATTAGCATATACGAAATAGCCCATTTGTGATGATATTCTCTCCAAGACGTACAACCGGACTACCATTCCCATATTTTAATCCCTCACATCCTTCGTTACTCAATAGTTTATATAGTTTCTCTTGTTTGCGCTTCCTGATATGTTTCAATTAAAGTATACACCTTTGTTATCTCTATAAATGTGAAACGTTTTGTATTAATGTCGGCACATTCTTTGGGAGCAATTATTGTCATGTTAAATCATTGCAAGGTGCTTTATTGTGAGTATTATTAGGATTCTTCAGCTACAACCATGTATGATTATTTTGTGTAAAGTAAATTGATTTAACTATCCAGAGTATATTTGCTTGTTTTAGTCCTATTTATATCTACCAGTTTTATTCAATGTCAACTTTCTACGACAGAAGAGAGTTTAGATGAATCCAGCATCACAGTGTATGACGTCAGCGAATCATCCTATGCGTTAATATTAGAAGTAACAGAGATTTCCAGTGATAGAAGTGAGAAGCGAATGTTATACCGTCATATTTCTTCTAGCAAACAAGTATTTCAGTACAGAGCGCTAACAGTACAGAAATGATAGCAATGGTCGAAAACTCAACGGTAACCTCACCATGGACGACGAGCCCTACTATGACAACAAGTCCAACTTTCCAACCTACAAGTAATTTTGAATTTTTGTGAATCTGAGTTCACAAAGTAGCAAGTTAGTGCAAATATCGATACAGTGTCGCTGATGAGTTTAGTTATCCCACACCTGTTAAACAATGCTTTATTTAGTGCAACCAACTACGACGACGACGACTACGACTACGGCCGCGACTACGACGACTACGGCCACGACTACGGCGATGACTACGGCGACGACTACGAGAACAGCTACAACGACAACTGGGCTACCACAAAGTAGGATTGATTTTCTTTTGGTATCGGTGGCGGCGTGAAGAGGTAGAAACAAGGGGCTGTAGTTCCATAATCTAACAAAATTCATTCTATTTTTTCACAAAATTGAAGGCTTTTCTCGCCTTTTTGACTAAAGCTGAAGCTAATGCCAAAATTTCTGAAAGCGGGCGGGCATATCTCCTTTCCTTGCTTTGCATTCACATTTACAAAGCAAAATGTTGGCTTTTTGATACAATTCAAGACATTCCCCTCGATAAAGTGAAATGTAATTGTTTGTTTCTTTGTAGAAAAACGTAATTTAACTTGGATTATTGTTGGTAGTGTGGCCGGCGGTTTAACACTATTGGCTTTGATTTTTGGTGCACTCGGTTGCTATTCATGCATGCATACAGTAAAAAATCGAGTGCAATCATCTCCAAGGGATAATACGATTGAAATGGTAGTTGTGAGGAATAATAATTAAACGAGGCATATTAACATATTGGTAAACTATCAGCCATAATAAACATAATGTCCTTATGTTCTTTTTACTACATAAGCAGATATTTCTATAAAAACGAATTTACAAAACTCGCTGCTTGTTCGGATTTAAAAACAATTATGTGGTGTTTTAATTTGTATTCCTAATCATTGGTTCTATTAAATAATTATAAGTTTTCTGGAACAACACAATATTGTTGATTTTCATACTGATAACATTAGTTTAAAACTGCAGTACGAAGTCTGTAGAGCGTTTTTGGAAAACAGTAGTGTTTTGCTAACTTTAAGGGTTCGCCCAAAGTCCTTTTTCTAAATCGAGACCTTACCACTTATGATTTCAACAATTACAAACTGATGGTGATGAGAATTCACCATGTTTTTCAAACACCAAACCGAAAGTCTTCGTTGAAATTTTTTATCTAAGAAACGTTGCCAGATATGCCATCTGATGTATTTTTTCGCATAGATCGAGAATCTGGGAAAGTAGCCGTTGGTCGAACGACAATTAGTTGAATAGACGATTTGTCGAATGTCGAAAACATTTCGTCAAAAAGCGTGTTTGTCGAAAAAATATTTGGCCGAATACTCTTTGTCGAAAACTATTTCGTCGAAGGATAATTTGGCAAATTATCTTTCAGCGAGTTTATTTTCTACAAATTGTCTTTTCGCCTAATCGTCTGTGTCAGAATAAGAGTGGAGTACAGTTGCGTTGCAAAGCATAGTTGCGTTGTAACTGCACTTTCGACGCAAGACACAGACGATTAGGCGAACGCAAATTCGTCGAAAAGACAATTTGTAGAAAATAAATTCGTTGAAAGATAATTTGCCGAATCGACAAATTATCCTTCGGCGAAATAGTTTTCGACAAAGAGTATTCGGTCAAATATTTTTCGACAAACATGCTTATCGATGAAATTCTTTTCGACATTCGATAAATCGTGTTCGACCAATTGCTCCCAATTCAAGAATCTAACTTTTGCTTGGAAGATAAACGCTTGAACCGTCAAGAAATCTGTCAGATACATGTCTACACCTACGGCGAGGTGAAAGTAAAAGCCCCCCGGGTCAGAAATGGCGATTTTCGTCAAAAATACCGAGGAAAAGCACATGGTTGGATAGCCCAAAGTGTCTACTATCAGGATCCAATGCTATTTGGTCCTCATCGAAGAAGTATGGAGTTTTTTAAAGAATTTTTCTGAAAACCTTGAAAATCTGACTTGTCGAAAAACTTTTACTTTTCGATAATAAAAAGAATCCAAAAATATTTTCAATAACACCAGGAAATAGAGCAAACATTTCTGATCTAAACGAGATATCTTGCGGCTCTAAATGATATTTTGATCAAGAGTTATAAGAGTTTTACCGGAAGTCGTAAAACATGCATCAGATACTGGCGCCACCACATCTCGAAAGCGACTTTCACCGTAACACCGTTTCGTAGCTGCAAGATTTCTCGTAACCAAGCATCAAAGAGACAAAATTTTTTTTTGATTTGTAGATTGCACCTATAGCTAGGTGTTGACAGGGTCCGATTTTTAAATTATGCTTCCATTTTTTATAGAAATGAGGATTTCTAAGAAACTTTTCAAGGATTTTTGGGACTTTAAACTTCTATTAAGCACTAGTAATCAGTAAATGAGAAATTGAAAAATCGGACTCTGTTAACTCTTAGCCATAGGTGTTTACTGCAAAACAAAAACAGTCTGAGCTCTCTGTCATTTACCTGGAATGAAAATTCTTGCACGTGGTAGATGCCTATTTTGGCCCTTGTTGTGGCGTCCACCCACGAACAGTTGCAAGTGGCGCCAAAAAAAATTCGTTACCACGCTATGATATGATCAACATTCCCTGAAAGTATGGTTCACATCAGATCTACCTAGGCTGAGAAAGGTTTCTGGGGGGCCTTAGGTGATAAGTACCTTAATGGTTAGACGAATTTTTTTGTTCAGTAAAAATGGCTGGTAATGTCTATTTTACTATGACTATACAGCCTGCCCAAACATGACTGACTTACGATTCTTTTGCTTAAAATGCAATTATTTAAAAAATAAAAAAAGTTGAAAATATAATTCTAGTGCTATTTTGTAGAGATCGGCGGGCTCTATATATACACAGAAAATATTTTGATTTCACCAAGTGGTTATCGAGATATTCTAAATAAACGGAGCGTGACTAACTTACAGAAAATAGAACTGTTTTTCGCCAATGTCGAAATTTATCGAAATTTCAGCAAAATGAGACGTTGTAAAAAATTTATTTTATGCTTAGTTTGTAGCCTAGATTTCTAGCTATCTAAGGGAAAATAGAAAGTTCAAAGATGCACTGATTGCTGAGCTGCAGCGACAACAAAACGTGACTGACTTACGCCTTTCTTAGATGACTTTTGGGCAGTGAATTTCCAGGCACTTAATGTCCTCCGAAAAAATTGATTTTTATATTTGTCATCAATTTCGTGATATTCTATCGATTTATGTGAAAACTGTAATTGAAAAATTTTTTTCAGGCTTATAAACTTGACTGGAACCTTGAAACATCGAAAAGGCATAAGTTTTGTTCCTAAAGTCGAGTTGTCGAAAAAAGTGAGCCATTTTGCAGAGAATTTAATTTTCTGTCGAATGGTGTGAATTTTAATTTTTTTTAAGTTTCTAGGTCAGAAATTTTAAATTAAAATTTTTCCCCGAAATTTATATTTTTATTTATTAAGGAGGTCGGATTCGTAATCAGCACGAAAAACTGCATCTAGTGATGTTCTTATATCGGTTCTCACATAATAAAAAAAATTTAACACTTGACTAACGAAGTGTCCTGTTACGTGTACAAGCCCGTATAGATGTTTATAGTTTCTAAATAGCTAATTCAGTATTTGACCTACATCTGCTCACAAGAAACGGCAAAAATATGGATAGGGTTAGTTCTTATTAAGTTATTCTGTATAGTCGCATAGCAGATGCATAAAGTTCTTACAACTTTTTGTTGTAGTTTTCCCGATTCAATAAATTTTATACTCTTACCATTTAGATATACACAAAAATTTGTTTCAGAAAATAAAGCATCTCAAACAGAATTTCTTTTTTGTAATCGAACATGATCTAGAGCCAAATAAGATCTCGTTAATGTATTAACCGATGATCCTTCTTTTATACGATTAAGCGTTTCATTTGAATGCTGTTTTTTTCTGGGTGATGAACGTTGATATATCTCTTCTGTAACTTTGCCACGCTTTCTCAGAATAAAACAACAAAATTGACGTTGGGCACACGGTTGATTCCATGTACACGAACACAACGATATACTTTCTGATATTTGTGTCATACTCTCGGGTGGTGTTTCTCCAAGTGCTATTAAACGTCCATTTGCGCTAATAACATCGCCGACAACATGTACGGCATGTTTACTTCTTTCTTGTGCCAAACTTTGTTCATTTTTAATTCTATTTGTATCTGTTTCAACCATTTTTAACACAAGTAAGTTTGATGACGAAGCGAGAATTGTTAGACCGCTGAGAATAAAACCAATAGTAAAAATTTTGTACGGCCATGGATATTCGTTATAACTCTTGTCTTGTAGTGGAACAAAATCACCAAATCCAATTGTGGTTCTAAATAAAACAACAGGTATGTCAATAAAATATCATACTTTTAGAAGTTGAACACTTACAGTGTTAGTAGACAGTAATAGGATGAATTGAAACAACCCCATGGTTCATACAAACAAAAGATGTATGATCCAGTTAACAGTGTCAATACACTCAATAATGCTTCACATGTTAATAGTTCCATATCAGTGACATGTTCACGTTTTTTAAACCGACGTTTTAGACGTTTAAGACAATAAGTTATTAATGAATTTAAACGTTCACCAACAGATTGAAACATAATTAATGACATGGGAATACCAATCAAAGCATAAGCTATGAAGAAAATAAATTCTTTATAATAATAGTTAGTTGTTGAATAATTGTTACTCTTACCTATCGTCACAGCTTTTCCCGATCGTGTTGCTGGTGTAGCATGTCCATAACCAACCAATGTCAAAACAACCGTTGAATAATAGAAAGATCCAAAAAATTGCCATTGTTTTCTCTTATATTGGTAATTTTTTAATATAATCGTTGTTAAACGATCAAAATCACTTTTAGACATGTTGTGTTGTCGTTGAAACGGACTTACATTTTTTTCATACTTATCACGTAGAACATCTTCATGTTTTGATTCTAATTTATCAAATATTGTTGCACCAATAATTAAATAGATAAATGTACCAATAATATAAGCCAACGTTTTACAATTTTGAATTTTAAACGATGGAGTTGATTCAGATGGACTAAAGTAGAAAGAGGAAAGACGTGTTGGTGATGCAACAACACTTTTCATCTCGATATAAACTTACAGACTGATACCGGGTCTCATAATTGATCAGTACAGATTACATGATTTTAGTTTTATACTAAAGTAATAACAGCAAAACTTAAACAAGTTCAAAATTGACTAGTTTTTCCTATAAAATGGTGCATAATATTTCTGATGTATCGTTTTCAGGTGTATATCTCATCAAATGTTTTTTATGCCTTTTCATCGCGTAGAACGATTGATATCAAGTGTTTTTTCATAAAGAAGAAATGTGATTCTTTCAAATAATCATAAATCACTTATTATCGTCTCTTCTTTCCCTATGCTGCTCTCAGAATGTCAATCAACATATATTTATGGATGTATTATGAAAACAAATAAGAGAAAATGTGACAATAACATTTTATGTAACCTCAATGTTCGTCATTTAATCGTCATTTAGCTTAGATTGCATGTCTGGTTTAGTATGTCCCGAGTGGGAGGGATGGAACAGGGAGAAATATAAAATATTGGTTCAAACATGTCTTGTCTATTAGATCACAAAACCATCTCATAATAACTGTGTGTTTTATTTTTCTTTTATTTTTCTCTTTTTTTTTTTTCTACTACTGATCAATTTTCATTAGAGGAAGAAGAACACATTCTAATAAGTATTTTATGTTTATAACAGTTTGTCTTGAACATGAATTTTCTTTTCTTGCTCTAGATATTTCTGTTTTGTCTTCTTGGTAGATTTATGTTTTCTATGAGAGACTAATTTATTCTTTGAATTGACACAAAGTGTGCATACATTTTTTTTTTGAACTAGAACATCATGATAAATGTGTAAAATGCTAATAGATATACGACAACACAAACATCCGTTTTACTAATTAGTTAAAGACGATCAGAGCAGAAAAATGTTTTTTTTAAGTTTTAAAGTATCTGTACAATGTAACATTAGAAAATTCACACTTTTATATTGAGTTTTCAGAAAAGAAAGGGTTTGAAGGCTTTTCACTCCTTTTCATACTCATACACATGTATCATGATTCACTACTGTCTCTTTATATAGTAACGTGTTTATTACAAATATAAAACTAGGGATGTCACTTTACCAAGTGATAAGTAATAAAACGTATTAGTTGTTACCTGGAAACAAGTAATAAGTCTTATTACTTTATTACTTATTACTTTTTCCAAGTAATAATCTTTTATAACTTTACTTATTACTAATAAGAAGAAAAGTAATAAGTAAAATGATGAAAAAAGTATTACATAAAGAAGTGATAAGTAATAAAACAACAAGATTTATTAACTTTTTACCGGTAAGAAGTAACACACATTCATTACTTTTACCGGATAATGTGATAATTAGTAAAAGTAAAGTAGTACCTCTATATAAAACTTTTTATACCCAAAACAAGATTCATAGTAATCTCAATTAGAAGCCTATTTTTCCTTTAATGTTCTTTTTTCTTTTTTTTCTTTCATATATTCTAATTTTAGAACCATAAATTTAGACACTTGATCTTCCTTTCTTCCTATCAAATATATTTCATGAGATCTAATAGCGAAATAACAACGACCAGTATTCCACGCGACATTTTTGTCCCTTTTGTGTGCAATCATAAAAATCTGCATCAGACTGCTACACCTGCCATCTGAAGAAGTTTCTGTCTACAATATTAATATTCAATTAGAGATTTTTAAAAATTAGTCTAAGATACGACGTGGAATCTAAAGAATGTTCACAATGCAATTTTTCAGTCGATTACCTTATCGGAATTCGTACGATGTCGTATGCTTTATGTGAAATAAAGTGAATCCCGCTTTTAATGAAAGCTCCTTTAACTCTGCAGATTTTCTTCAAATTTACACTGTTAAATTTTTACTAAACTGTCTCTGTTGAAAGTATGTCTGTCAGAATAGTGTTCTACTTAATTGATTGACATACCTTCCGGCAGTACTTCTCTATATAATATTGATTGATTGTGACTATCTGTATTCTTTAATTGTACACCACATCAATCCAAGAATCGTATGGACTAGCTGTTATAAATAATTCCAAACTACATTTATTATTATCAGTTCTCTGAAAACAATTTCTCATCCTCTGTGTGTGTGTGTGTGTGTGTGTGTGTATGAGTGCGTCTATATCTGTTTTTTGCAGTAGATATATGGATGACATAAAAATCATCTTAGATCTCTATCACATATAGTTCATATGGATGAACGGGCAATAATAATACCATAACAGTGCAGTAGATAGCTTTAAAAAAACGTTTTTCTTTTTTTTTGTATAATAATTTCTATTATTGAAAAAAAATAACCGAAGAACAAGAAAATCTTTATAATTCAATAGACTCCGAATTAATTCTCTCTTCAATCGAAGGAATATGCGAATCTTTTAGACTAGCTTTCTAACAAACAAACGAGAAAAAGAGTAATAGAATAGAAAGTACTATACAACTGTTGTACTTTTTTGTTTGCTGTCTAGCACCTGAAATGATTATATATTAATTGATTCCATTATCTGATTAGATCTCGTCTGTTGATCCTAAGTCTTCTGCTATTCAAGTTACAATACTTATTTAATAAGAATAGCAACCTCGCTAAAGACTGAAGCATTTCACACAACTGCTATTATTGAGAATTTTTTTAACTAACAAGTGAATATTCTCAAGTGATCAATCGGTTTTTTCTTGAAACCAACTCGATTAAATGGTTTTTTTATGCTGATCACGAACATGCTGTCTACTACGACTGATGCAACTTTTTCAGTTGGGTCTCTGAAAACTGATCTTTGGAGACTCACTCTAAATTCCGTGACGAGTGAATTCTGATCCAATCAAATTGTAGAACTCGTCGAGTTACTCGTAGAAACTTTTAAGAACTACCGAAAAAATTTTCGATTAACTTCGGAAAAACCACTCCTCCGCCCACATTGTCGATTCAGGTGAAAAACAGTCAATCTTCAAAAATTTGTTCCTGGCTTTAGCTTTTCCAGTCCGTTTTTAACGCAAAATTTTTTAATGACTTTTCAATGAATTCTAGCAAATTGACGATGAATGTTAATCAATTGAGAACTATACTATTGTGTGACTGTACCCTTTCTCTGTTTAATCATACAAGTTTGATTTCTATATCTGACGACCTTCGTTCAGCTAATTAGACCATAATGAATTATGTTATTTTAGCGACGAATATTGTGAATGTGTAACGGATGTTCGCAGTATTTCTGAGATTCGAGTAAGCCATTTGTGCCCTCTGATACTCTTTTAAATCGTAATTTTATTCCCACAAATTATGTTCGTTAACGTTAAAACGTTTCAATACTTTGCATCTTCATCAGTAGACATGATAACTTTATCGTGTCAATTTATCAATTTATCGTGTCTACTGATAAAGATGCAAAGCACTGAAACGTTTTAGACGCACATAATTTGTGGAAATAAAATTGCGATTTAAAAGTATCAAAGGCCACAAAATGCAACAGAATCGGACTAATAGCTTATATCAATTTAGGAGTAAAAATAATTAATCCGAAGTGAACATTTATATAGATACTTAATCATTAAACGAACGGATCAACCCTGAAAAATCGGTTATATAGCTCTGAATACCTTTTAATCAGCACAAAGTAGACTCAATCATGTTTCCTAAGCGCTCTTCAATTTCAAGGTTTACAAGTTAACTCTCTCCTGCAGTATTTGATACAAGTTACATTGGTCGGTTTACATGTGATAAAAATTTTATCTTATCAATTAGATACAGCTTAACAATCTAGAGAACGGCCACATATAGAAAAGTAAACGTCAAACGATGTGTCAAAGTATCTTCATTTTTTTAATTTTGTTCTCAAAACGGAGCAATGAGAGTTGTAGATCGGACTTTTCTCAAAAATGAACTGTAGCAGATTTTCAATAATATAGTTCCTGTATAGGAGATGAAAAGTGAATAGGCGCGAAGTAAAAATGAGGATCAGGTAAGCATTTTAGCAATATTATTATTAGGATTATTAATAACCGTTGATACAAAATACAAATTTCTATCTAGAGAAAAAATTCCTTATAAAAAAGTACATAATCCTTACGCGCTATACGTCGTTTCTTTTTAGTAAAATATTCTATTCTACTTTGAATAGTGATTTTTAAGGCAGATCAAACTTCATTTAGCATTATTACTATCTAATTTAGTGCATTATACAACTACATGTAGTTTCATATTCTAGTCTCATAAGGGCTGCCCGGACAAGATTTATCTTTTACCAGCAAAAAAAATTGTCAGTGTTGTCTGAAGATGACTGCCACTATTACAAGATCTTGGCATCAAAAATGTTAACCTATTGATAGGCTACATGCTTATATCAAGTAAACCTAAACGGATCATCTTTGATGTCTAAATGACCACCTTCTTTACTCTTTCTGTTCAGCAAAGTATACATCCTTGCAAATGGAAGTTTGTTGATGTCCAATACAAAAAAAGCCTCAAATCTCTCATTGACAAATATCGGCATGTTTCTCTTCTCTGTACCTTAATTCTTGAAAGATTTATCTATGATCAGCTCTTCTCGTATTTAAACAAGCATAAATTGTTTTCTCCCGTACAGTGCAGTTTTCCTCCTAATTCAAGTACTGCGGATGCCCTGCTTTATTTAACACAAAATATTTACGACAATTTGGAAAAATGTACTGACTCGATTTTAGTGTTATTTGATTTTGATAAAGCTTTCTATAGGGCCTCCTTTCAAATACTTCCAGAGATGGGCGAATCAAGCTGCTTTCCGAGTCCGTGTCATTTCGTAGCGGCTTCGAGTCTAGTCGACTCACCAGTGTTTTCGAGTCAAGTAGAACCAAGCCAAGATATTTTGCCATTTTTTTCTAGTTTCTTATTCCGTCTTGTTCTTCGTCAGCAGTATTACATATATATATACTCTAATTAATTATATTCTTCTCATTTAGTCTGACGACGGCGTCTTTGACGTTGAAACGTAACAATAAAAATAAAACAAGAAATCCGCAAGATTCAGAAATACGCAAATT